GTTCCCGCGCTTCCTTCTCCATGCGATCACGATTGAAGACCTCTCTGCCCTTCAGCTTCTGTTGCGCAGCATCAACAGGTGTGACAACAGCCTTAGGAACGATGACACTATTGCGGTTTGCCGAAGACGTCGACGTAGAACGTGACTGAGACAGTGGTTGCGAGAGAGACATACTACTGCGCTTGCTAGCCAGAGAAGAAGAACGCTGAGACTCTTGCTGTGGTTGCGGTGGCGCAATAGTGACGCCTGGTTGCGAGAGAGACGTGCTGCTGTGCTTGCTTGCAAGTGAAGACACCCGTTGGATCTGTGGTTGTGGTGGCGCAATGGTAATGCCTGGTTGCTGTCTGATAGGGACGGCCACTGGCTTCCGGACTGGTGCCTGTCGTGCCTTGAGGGCGGCTTCTTTCTTTGCTGCTTCCGCTTCTTCCATGCGCTTTAAGCGCTCTTCCCTCTTTATTCTTAACTTTTCTGCAACGGCTGAGCCGGGGAGCTCGAAAGTGGCCTTTGTTGGTGCTTTCGTCGACTTGGCGTGAGGAGCCATGCTGATGCTGACAGGACGCTGCTTTGGTGCTTGTTGCTGAGGTACTTCAGCTTCTCTCCTTTGCCGCTCCTCCTTCTGTGCCTTGAGTTTCTCAGCAATTCTTTCGCCAGGGAGTTGGAAAGCTGGCTTGGTGAGAGGCTTGGTAGATTTTGGTGGAGGAGGCATGCTGACGGGCCGTATTTTGGAAACTCCGCCCTCTGCCTCCCTCTTTTGTCTATCCTCCTTTTGGGCCTTCAATCTGGCGACCGTATCGTTGCTTGACAGCTGGAAAGTAGGCTTTGTAGGTGCGCGACCCTTTGGTGGTGGCGCAGGTGTGGGAAATGACATGCTGATTGGCCGGCGTTTTAAGGCAAGATAATCTACGGTCTCTGTAGAACCTACTCTACCGTCTTTACCAGGTGCTGTGCGGACACTAGACGCGCGAGCTATCGAAGACTTGACTGGCTTCATGCTCTTAGGCGCAGCAACACTCGGTGTTCTGGATATCTTCGCAGCGGGAGCTTGTGTGGGCACTGGCGCTTTGATGGGTGTCTTGGACCGCATGATCTGCGTGGTAGCTGTCTTGGGAAACTCTGCTTTCTGAGGCGACATGACTTCATTCGCATGGTCGAATCGAGTGACGGACGTGACATTCTCGAGCGCTTCCTCAAGCGCATCGATGGCTTCGAAAGACTCTTCCAAACGCATTGGTGATTTTGACGGGCTTCGCGATGTTCGTCGACTTGAAGTATGGCTTTTGAGTGGTGTCACAGCGTCTTCGCTGGGCCTCTCGGCTGCGAGCGTCTTGGGTTCAGGTTCTGAACTTACTTGAACGGAGGGTGCGGGGGGTTCAGCTTCAGACACGGGCGATTGATTTTCGGATATTGCTTCAGTCACTGTTGCTTCGACGACGGGCTCCTCGCTTTGAGGCTCCTCAATTTGCGGCACCGGCGCAGCATGTGTTGCTTCTACCGTCTCAGTCACCTCCTGAGGCGTTTCTTCTTCTATTGGCACTTTTTGTGTTTCTTCTACAGCCTCTGCTGCAGCTGGCAATTGAGCTCCTTGTATGGGCTCTTCTGACAGGCTCTCAGCCTGGACCTGTTCCGCCCCCGCCGTTGTATCTTCAGAAGATGTATCCACAGCCTTGTGTTCGTCTAGAGTCTTTTCTATCGTCGCAGGCACTTCTGCTACAGGCTCTGGCTCTTGTGACTGGGCACTGAGCTGCGCCTGTTTTGCTTCCTCTTGCAGCATAGCTAGCTGTCGGCGTGTTCGTCGCACTGTGGGTGGTGGAGTCACGGGTCGTTCATCGTTTGTGGGGACTTGAGTGGCTCCTATACATGATTAGCCTGTGTTCGCTGGCGTAGGGCGGCTGCGCACTCACCGTCGGGAGCGTTGTTGGAAACTTGGTCGCCAGTCGCCTTGTCCGTGGGCGCTTCATCTGCGGCTTGTTCCTCTTCATGTGCGGCTCCGGTCTGCTCCTCTTCTTCCTCCTCCTCAGCTGCTCTGCCCTTCTTTCCCTTTTGGGCACGGCCTTTTCCTTTGGTCTTCCGCCCTGGAGTCTTCGCCGGGGTTTTGGCGGGTGTTTTCGGAGGCAGATCCTCTTGTTCGTAGTGGGCATGTTTGGGCGACGCATTGGACGAGATTTGTTCCAAGGGCACACGCTCGGTCGCGTCCGGCGTATCATCGCTGGCCTGCTGGGCGCGGGCGCGTGTGACACGCATTGTCGTTGTCAATGTCAACTGGGCTGTGTTGTATGACTGTGTCGGGTTGCGTATGCGCTGCTAGGATGCATTCGAGAGCGGGCTGGTGTGGTGTTGACGCTCGAGTGTTTTGGTCTCCACTCTCGTGCAGCATCAACAAACACCCTTGCCGAGTAAAGCTCGCGCCAGGCGTTTCTCGCACCCACGTGACACGCGCAAGTTCACCAGCACGCGCCCGCGTCGCGGAACCGTCGTAGCACCCCACGATTCAGAAACCCGGGTCCGCATCCGTGCGTGTAGGAGCGTCTTTTTATCCCGTAATTTTGGAGCGGCGATTGATAGACTCCTTATTTTACCAATTGCATCGCCAAACTCCGTCACGTCTCTCGTTACTACAAATAACTCATTTCTTTTCTCTGGCGCGTCCTTGTCTCCTAGATACCAACAAGCCAATCGCACATGGTCGCAATTGGCATAACGCAATACTGAACGTGTCCATCACAGCCATATTCATCCATCGCGCTCGCCTCCGAAGACCGGATGTTTGCAGCCCCGCGGTTGCGTCTCCTTGCCGTGAACAGCCGCCTTCAACCCCGCCCAAGCATGTCGTCACCTCGTTCTCGGGCTGGCTCCCGACTGAAACAGATCTCCAAGCATATAGACTCCAAGCCCTTCCTCGAATTGAACACTCCCTTCTCCACTGAACGCACCGCCCGCATCGAGGACGAACAAGGCAATCGCATACTTCCCGATAAAGTCGAACCAGCCAAGCTCAAGGAAGCCAAGCAAGAATTCAAGAGGGAAGTAGAGGAAGTCAAGAAGCTTGCGCCGGAACCACCCAAGAACATGTCGAGCCAAGCACCACACCCTGCGCTGCTCATTCCTGGGCCCATTGAGTTTGACGATGCCGTCCTCTCGTCTATGAGCCATTACAGGTAACATGTCCAGAGTACTGTGTGCATCATCTTCATCAGTACTGACCGTCTCCAGTGAATCGCATGTCGGCCAACCCTTTGTAAACACCTTCAGCCAAGTCCTTGGAAATCTACGCAAGCTATTCCTCACCAGCGACCCGGCCGCGCAACCCTTCGTCATCTCCGGCTCTGGTACACTCGGCTGGGATCAGGTAGCGGCCAATTTGGTAGAGCCTGGCGATGAAGTGCTTGTCCTACATACTGGCTACTTCGCCGACTCGTTCGCCGACTGCTTCGAAACCTACGGTGTCAAGGCCACACAGCTCAAGGCGCCCATTGGCGATCGACCGCAACTCGATGAAGTCGAGAAGGCGCTGAAGGAAAAAGACTACAAGATCCTGACCGTTACACACGTCGACACTTCAACTGGTGTGCTCAGTGAGATCAAGGCATTGAGCGAGCTGGTTCACAGAGTCAGTCCTGAGACATTGGTCGTCGTCGACGGTGTCTGCAGTGTTGGCTCTGAAGAGATCCGCTTTGACGAGTGGAAGCTCGATGCTGTAATTACAGCTTCACAAAAGGGCATCGGCTGCCCAGCTGGTCTGAGCATCATGATGGTATCAGGTCGTGCGATTGAGAGATTCGAGGCGAGGAAGACGCGTCCAACTTCTTACTTTGGGTCATGGAAGAACTGGCTACCAAGTAAGTCACCTTGATTTTCCCCGCGAGCCGATGCAGGAAACTAACACAGTTACAGTCATGCAAAACTATGAAGCAAAGAAGGCATCCTACTTCGCTACGCCGTCCCCACAACTGATTCACGCGCTCGACACGGCGCTCAAGCAGATTCTCTCCCGACCTGTTGAAGACTACTGGGCCGCACACAAGGCTGCGTCACAAAAGGTCAAGAAGGCTGTGGCAGATCTCGGTCTGAAGCAGCTTGCTTCCAAGCCAGAGAACCAGGCCACCGGCATGACTGCTATTTACCTACCCGAGGGTATGACACCTCCGGATGTTCTGCCCAACCTCTTGAAGAAGGGCGTCATCTTTGCTGGTGGTCTGCACAAGGAGATCGCAACCAAGTACATTCGATTCGGACACATGGGTGTCAGTGTAACCGACCCAAACCGACCAGATATCACCAAGGCCATTGAGAGCTTGAAGGAAGGTCTGGTGGAGGCTGGCTACAAGGCGCCAGCCTAGTTGGTGGGTTCTTTCTTGTTTGAGATTGAATTCACTGAATATACAACATACCCGAACAATCCGGTGGAAATAAGACTTTTGCAGCCACTGGTTGTAGAGCAAATCTCAAGAATAGAATATAAATCCACTACCATGTCGTTGGTGCAGCATGATGATGAATACCGTGGCTATGTCAAATCCTTCGCATCCCACCAAAATTCAAAACTAACGGCTCTCCACCAACAGCAACGACGCAACCTCTACATGCCCAAGGCAAATATCAAACACTAGGTCTACGAGATCAACAAATCTAGCCTACCCAAGGCTAGATCGCCAAGAATGCCCAGAGGCAACGACCTGTTATACGAATTGCCGACCCGTTGCCACCGAATGAAATCATCCAAGTCTCTCCACATCTCGATAACCCAGAATGCGGTAAGTGGGTCTGGCAAGGCTGTGTTCCTGGTGATGTATTCCGATGATGGGCTTTGACATTACTGTACTTAATTCCCCCGACCAACGGCGAGTCTTCGGAGTTTCCTGAAATTGCTGTGAGATCCCTTGTGCTTCGTTAATTCTCGTGTTCCTGTTCTCCTATCGATCCCTAGCTTCATTGTCGTAGCTAGCGACATTATTGCGCAGCATACGCGCATAGTTGGAGATTGCCCAGGTACTCTTCCCGAAATGACGTCCACATCACGAAGTCTACAACACGCTTGGGACACAGCATGGACGACTGCACCACCTCAAGCATGCGAAACTCTCCGCAACCTCAATGGCGCCGTCGCTTGGGGCCAAACATGTGTCTTTACCGAAGAAGATAACGACCCGATACCATTTAGCATAAATACCGCTTGCATGCCCTGGGTGACATCGAATGTCTATCCATCCCCATCCGCTTTCTACTCGCCTGCTACCGCATGCCCAGCAAAATGGACGGCAGTCGCCACACAAACAGCAGCAAACGGAGAAGGCAGCGATAATAGATGGATAGATGGGGAAATTGGGCTGCAGTGCTGTCCCGATGGATTCCAGGCAGACGGAAGAGACGGATGTAGACCGGAAGGTAGTGGCAGGTTTCCGGTTGTTGAATGTGGGGAGGCGGACGCGGAGGAGAACGAATTGAGAACGTACGACGGAGGTGCCTGGCCAGCAACCGCAACGCCGAGTATCACGGCATTGCACTTGAGATATCAACCTAGTGATACTGGGGGCACGAACAGCCCAACAGCTTCGAGCACAGAGGCTACCAGTACCGGAGCTACTAGCAGTCAGAGTCCAGGAGGAGGTAGTGGCGGCGACAGTGGCAATGGTATCTCGACTGGTGCTATAGCAGCGATAGCCACAATCATTCCTTTGGTCATAATCATCGGAGCGTTGGCAATGTTTCTTTTGTGGAGGAGAAAGAAGAAGAACGGCAAAGCAGCGATTGCGTTGAAGAACCTAGGAGACGAGAAAGACGACTACCCGTTACGATCCGTCGACGACACAGCCAACCAAGCAGCATCCACTCGCCACGACATGCCCAAAGGCACTACTGCAGCAGCATACTACACTGGCTCGTCCCAGCACCCACACGAAACACCCGAATGGAATGTGGAAATGGATGCTGTAGAGGCCGAGCGTCTGAAGGTCACTGGGACATCTGCACAACAATCTTCTAGTCCAGTGAGTCCAGAGAGCGGAGTTGAAGCAACAGAACTTGCTGGGTTGGCCAGGGTACCGAGAAAACCTATTGCGCCCATTGAGCTTGATAGTACACCTGTGATACCAGAGGTTGGGGATGCGTATATACCGTATCGACCTGGTAGAGAGTAGAGTTTGTACTTTGGTACCCAATAATCAATTTCTCATAGTTGTTTAATTACACGTCTGTGTTCGATGTTGAATGTGCCCTTTCTCTGTTCCTGGTGTAATGTCGTTTCGTGTTAGCCTCTAGGCCTCGCTTGGCTTGTTCTGAAATATGCCTTGGAGTGCGCGCTTTCTCTGCAGATTGAGTTGCAGGTTCTTTTTTTCTGTATTACGCCTTATGTTTTTCTTGTTCATACCGGTCTGTGTGGATGTTGAAGGTTCTGACATGAGGGATTCATACACATCGAAGTCACACTGGCTCCATCACGTCCAGTCTTCCTGCAAGACTGGATCCAGTAAGTAGTTTTATGAGTTTTCTGGAAGTTGAGTGCGTGAGGCCAAAAGTCAATATTTGTCTATTTGTCTTTCTCGATGTATAAGCATCATCTGAGGACCAAATCTGACGCCGCTTGAACTTGATACCGAATGGTGTAAATAAAACCTCCGCACCGGTGAGTGCCTCATCTGTATTGTTGCAAGTAATTTGCCTCCTCAGAGACCACATAGAATGGATATGGCCTAATAGCTCTTCTCGCAAAAAGTCTTTGCGATCGCCCAGGGTGTACCTGTAATCATCGAGCGCTTTACCTTAAAAAAAGTGCCCTATGTATTTTCCAACCCTGAGGCTAGGTTTGTCATGCAATGAACCAGCCCACACCATCATTACCTAGGTAAGGAGTGTCTTGTGCGAAACACGAAGGAACCGGGCTCAAGGGCCTGAAGACCGGTTTTGTTTGTACATGTATACATATGTATGCATCTGTCAGCACCGTACCTTGAAACTCACTGACTCTGAAGCACCATGCAATGTCAGTGCCGGTAGTGATAATGTGTTCGTGCCTCCAAAAAAAAAGCTCTTGTAAGAGCCCTCAGGTACAAATCTGCGATAATGATAGCCTTCATCCTGACAGCAGGGTTTTTGATGAGTTTAGAGTTGGAAGTTCGAACAATAGTCAACATGTACCAAAACCTGGAAATGTATTCGATGTAGCAATACCAAATGCTTTTCCTAAGCTCTGATGACGCCAACCCCAGGACAAGGATGAAGAGAAGGTTTGTGTGCTGCGTACGCTTTTTACAGGACCTCTATCAAGCCTCGTTGCTATCCACCTTGGCCGCACTATCAGCGACCTCATCAGCCGTCTCCGCCATCTCGTGGTCTTCCTTCTTCTCAGCCTTTTCGGCGTCTTCTTTACTCGGCACGCCCTCCTTGTTGCCCACAAGGTCCCTTACGACATCGACGGTAGCTGCTGGGCCACCAGGCTCAGCGGCAAGTACCTTGCCCTCCTTGTCAACAACAAAGACACCACGCGTGGTGCTCTTCGGTGGCTTCTTGAATCCAATAGCCGAGATGAGGCTCTGTGAGGGATCGCAAAGCAGGGTGTAGGGGAGCTTCTGCTTGGTCTTGAAGGTTGTGTTGGCCTTGGGGCTATCAGCGGAGAGACCGTAGATGGAGTATCCGGTTGCGGTGAGGGGATCGTAGGAGTCACGGAAGAGGCAAGCTTGTTTTGTGCCTGCAATCGTACGCATTAGAACCAGTCGGCGAAATGGAGGGGGCTGTCAGGGGTGTGCGACTTACATCCTGGTGTCGAAGCCTTGGGGTAGGTAAATAGTACAACGCCGCCCTTGCTCTCCTCGACAAGCTTCGCAAGTGTCGTCTTGTCTCCATCATTTGTCTCAATCTCTCCGCCGAAGGAGGCGAGGTCCATCTTGTCGCCGACTTTGGGTGGGCCGCTCTTCGCAGGCGCCGCCGCCGCCGTAGACTTGCCGTTGCTCTTACCGACAACAGCTTCCTTGACAGCTTCAACCTGCTCTGTGACGGCTTCCTGGACCTTTTCGACGACCGTTTTCTCCTCTTCAGGCTTCTTGTCCTTAGCAGGTGCCTTCTTCTTGGCCGCGCGCACTGGCGCTGGGGGCGCTTCTTTGCGCTTACGAAGCTCGACTGGCATGTTGAGATTGGAGTCGCGAGATGATATCGCGGCCGAGTTGGTGTCGCAAGAGAGGATCAAACTCGATCAGGGGGGAATTGGGCAGCGAAAAGGTCGGGATCTGACGCTTGAACGTTCGTGGAAAGCAGGGTAGGACGGTTGGCTAAGGGTAAGAGTACAAAACCAGCGGTCAGTAATACAACCTCGCAGAATCAACAGCCACCAATTCGCGGTAATAAATCCTCAGCCCGAATCACCAAGTACTTTGAGCGCGTCGTCTAGTCAACGGAAATAGGGTAAGCATGGTGGTGAGGCCGAGCGGAGCCAGGTCGTCCAGCCTCCTCACTTGGCGTTTCTGTCCATATCCATATTAGCCAGATTACCTGAGCCTGCGTCGTTTCTTCGGGAACAGCTTGTTTCGGACGGGCACTGGGGATAGGTAGGCTTGTTATTGGCTGATGAAGTGAGGAGTCGTGACATGCACAACGCTCGGTTGCGCGTGTCCCGGGCGCGTCATAGCTTCCGTTCCCCAATCCCACGGCCTCCCAGTGGGTTTGCATCTGATATCAAACTGCGCTCAGAACTACTCGTCCATACAATGCATAAGTCTGCTTATGACATCTACAGCTTGAACCTTCGGCTCTTCCCCCACGCCCATCAACAACCCTAAATTAGCACGACCTCGAGGGACTATGCTGTCGACGCTTGCGCTCCATCTATCGCGTTATAATCTATGCGTCTTCTGTACCTCCTACTACCCAACTAACAGGATGCCAGTTATTCTCACAAGAGAATACCTTGCTGCCCGATCCGTAGTTCAACGCCCATCCAGAAGACCACATACCAAGCCCAAACTGTCACGACGAGTCAGTAATCATCCAGAGACAATCAAGGAACGCGACCTACAATAAGTACGCCTAGAATCACGATAAAAAGGTTCAGCATTGTAAAAGCCGTTTGCGACTTGGAAGAAAACAGCTTACGGTTCTTCCTGTTGTGCCACAGCCACATCAACGGAGGAAGTGCATCTGCACGCGTCAGCTAACACCCCTATCTTCATCCTCCCAGGTCGTGTCAGTAGTGACTCACAGTTAAACCAGCTTCCAAACAACGCGCCCATCAGGCTCAGAAGAAGGGCGAAGTTTGGCACTGCTTCTGCCAAGATGCAACTTATCAGCCACGCGCCTGTGCAAATAGCACTCCAGCTTCCCAAACTGAGCCAACTGTTGGCGTGAGCTACACTCGTGCCCTTCCATACACGAAAGTAGATATACTTGGTTGCCACAGACCCATTCACAACGCCTGCGACGATGATTATAGGTAGCGCAATACCGAAGCATACCTTACTGACCAGTGGGGATGCGGAACCAAGGGCGGGTGAGGCAACCGAAGGTCCAGCGTGATAGTATATAATGACGGAAATGAGCATGTAGAAGGTAACTGCGATACCTTGTTCAAGAATGAGGGCTTTGCGGAAGTCGCGAGGATCCTCGAGTTCAGACTGGAACGAAAAGAAAGCGACGTGGCCGGCTATGCGAGATCAGTATGAGTTGCTGCAAGGACAGACACAGGAGAGAGCATACTGAAGGCCAAGACGATGTTCATGACCGGCGCTAGACCCTTCACCAATGTTACGTCGGGTCATACGGCGACGATGTTGCCCGTGTCCGGTTTCTGGATACTGACGGCGATCATAGTTGTCGTAACTGCTATGATTACAGAACTACAAGCTGAGGTCATTAGCTAACGGGGCCACGTCCAGTGACCGAAATCCCAACCCACAGAAGTAGCTAAAATAACTAATGTTCTTGAATGTTCTTGGTAATCCAAATAGAAAAGAGATGATCAAGCCGATAACATTGAAGATGATCGTGCAAGCGCCATGGTCTGTCATTGCGTTCAACGCGACGCCGAATGTCAAGATATGCGCGCCCATGATAAAGATCAAGACTAGTTCCTGCCCAACGGCAAGCACCTCGCGACCTATGGGGCCTCCAATCAACATACCGCAGTCAGCGTAACAGGTTACGGATGGATGAGCCAGCTTGAATTCATCAATCAAATAGCCTGTGTATGTAGCAATGATGCCCAGGAAGCATATGCAAAGGAGGCCAAGGACGAGACCGAGGATTGCGAGAGCTTGTGGAAGGGCAAGGACGCCTAAGGAAACGTTCTCTGCAAGCATCACTAGACTACGTCAGTGAGATACATGAATCGAGAAATGAGAGGCTTACGAGCACCAATATTCCTAGAAGTGTGAAGTCAGCTGTAGCTCACAGATAGAGTTGTCACATACACCAAGCAAAGGCATGTCTTATGTGGGAAAGCAGCAACAACTTGACAGCTTCCGTTTCAAAGCACTATAAACAGCAGGAGCGCAAGGCTTGAGCACTTACCACCATTTACAAGTCTTATACTGTATCTCAGCGCTTTCCTCGTTACCGAAGGTGTTATCTTCTACTGCTGGTGCAACTTGGCCTCCAAGATCTGCTGATGATGTCAATTGAGGCCGAATAGCATGCTCTTTTTGCATCGTGCTCTTGTTGGTGTGCTTGGCCATGGCTTCGTTTTGCAGAGCCTATCTCCGTAGATGCGTAGATGTTATGGTTAGGAAGCTTGTCTAGCTCGTTGTTCCATGTGTACTGAGATCTGTGACCGGTCCCTCGTAAGACGCAATTATGGCGGCTAGTTGAAGACTGCTATGCGAAATAGATATTGGAGATCGATAGGAACCGCTCATTTGTGCTAGCTAGCCGTACCACAGCATGATTCTACGTTTGACTGCTGTAGATGTAGGCGTGTTTGCAAGCTCCTTCGGGTCGGGAGACACGGAGAAAGTCTGTTTGATTCCAAGATTGGAACGAAGCGGACCACATTCGTGTCCAAATTGCAAAGCACGTTATCAAGTATGATAGGATCCTCCATTCTACCGCGAATCTCCATAAGATAGAAGACTCAAAAGGCGTATCTGAATCAAGCAGATGCTGCCACATACTTGGTTCATGACTATACGAGGGATATGGTGAGATCCTGCCACTGATTATACAGGCTTGACATCGGGTAGCAAGGGGATGACACCCAAGCTTGGGGCACGATTCGCCGCCGTCCAAAGAACCATTTGCGAATGCAGGTTATCTGAGAAGCCGTGGGGAAAGAGAGATGGTGATACAATGGAGATACAACAATGGAACCTTGTCGGTCTACGATCCGGGGCTACATGCGTGGCATCATGCATAGGATGTATCATGCCGGTAAGCATCTGAATCTTATGGTACCATAAAATCATCACTAGGGATGTAGGTGTAATGGTAGAGGATGAGGCGGGGGAGAAGCCTCCCTGATTGAATGACCATGGAGGAGTAAAATACGTCATCACGTGCGTTCGCGGGCAAAGCGCGAATTGCCACTTTCCCCATCGCTCCCCGCAACCCATTGTCCCCACAATTGCATCCGACCGTCACACCTGTGTCATCTCATTCGCCTTGCGACAATATCTTCGCTCCTCGCGCGCCATGGAATCCGACCTGGGCCTCCCGCCGACACGGGCGAGACGCAAGCGCAAGAGTACGGCATATGCCGACCATGACGGCGACGACAATGACGATGCGTCCTTCAATTACCAGTCTACGCCGCGAAAAGCCAAAAAGATCGAAAGCGCTCCTGAAGTGATCGACCTTACCGGGGATTCTCCAAAGAAGATTCTCCCCAGCAAGAGAGGCAAGCGCGATGCTGATGCGCCTACCGAAGAGAAGCGTGCGAGGGTCTTTCGCAAGAAGGCGCCCCAAAGCTATATTGTTATAAAGGAAAGAGCTCTAACCCAGCGTCTGACAGTCCTTTCGCGCGACCGCTGCGGAAGCGATGATGTGCCTGAGGAGAAGGTTATTGTGGCAGGGTCAACGGGAAATGTCTACACGGTCTCGATCGGTCTCGTCCCAAGCTGTGACTGTCCACACGCGAAGAAGGGCAATCAATGCAAGCACATTATCTATGTCATGCTACGTGTGTTGAAAGCACGGGAGGAGGTGGCATACCAACTGGCCCTCATCAGCGCTGAGCTGCGCGAAGTCATCAAAAACGCGCCACCCATTCCAGGTGTGGAGATCGACGGCAAGAACGGCACCGAACAAGAAGGCCAGGTCGGGAATCGCAAGCCTATCGAGGGCGAATGCCCTATTTGTTACGATGAGCTCGGCAAGAACGAGGCCATTGTATACTGCAAGTCCAGCTGTGGAAACAACGTGCACAAGGCTTGCATGCAGAATTGGATCGCCGTATCAAAGGGCAAAGCGACCTGTCCATACTGTCGCGCCAAATGGGAGGCCGATATAGACTTCCAAGGCAAGCTGGGTGATGTCGATACCATGAATTTGGAGAGAAACGAGGACGGCTACGTCAACGTCGCAGGCCAACTCGGCCTCAGTGGCGAACGAGACTACTCAACCTATAACCAATACTGGGTGCGGCAACACCTGGGTCAAGGTAGGACAAGGGGCGGTTACGATTTCGAGGATGACTACTAGTCTGAGAGACTTTGCGGCACAAGGACGGAATCATCGAGCAGACAAGTGCATTTGGCGTTTAGGATACTGATACCCGGTAGTAGCAGGCACAAGGTTCAGCTCAACACTGACTCCACAACGTGCATTATACACCACATGTTTTGTGTATTCTGATCGATACATTCTCTCGCTTTCCTTGCTTTTCTCGCTTATGCCCATGTCCCGGCTTCGGCTTCGACCAGCCCATCTTGGAAATTACCAACCTTCAAGAATAGCACAAATAGTGATCGGCCACCACTGACGCGGCGAGACTCCCCCAACAAGCCCCACTCCTTCGGCCATCGCATAAGCAACAAACCCATCATGCTGACCTGAACACGTACCTGCATCCGCTCGCCTCGTAAATCGAGTCGCTGCAGCTCCACATCTCTCCCAACTACGTCAACACAATCACGACATACGGACTTCTTCGGCAAGACTAATCCCGCCCATCTGGTCAGTAGTTATTTGCGGTTCGTCCGAAGTCAAATACGAGATGAATGACGCGTCCACGGATACCACTATTCTCACGACGAGGCATCCCGGACAGCAAGTATTGATATCAAGAATGCACTATAGATCTACAAGACTGGAATGTGCTCGAGCCACCAAAGATCAACAACAACAACGCACGTCCTCTATCCAACAGATCTTGGACATCGGTGGAAAAGGTTTGCTGGAATGTCAAAGCAAGTTAGCTGTGCTGTAGTAATTCAGCCTGCGCAGCGGTAAGTTCAAGCGATTCTAAGAGGTGGCGGAGTTAGAAGTACGGGGCTGGTTCTCCTGCGTGGTTGCGCGACCCGGAGACAAGGTATCGGTTGGCTGCAGGTTAGTTGATTAAACGTTGTACTTGTGCTACTGCAACCATGGCACGACAAGGTGCAAGCTTTGGTACGACCATGTGCAAGGATAGCGTTTGGGTGATATGCAGGTACAGTCACAGAGCTTGAAGATTAAGTTTGTATCGCGGTGGACCCAGCTTTGTCTTGGGTGGGAGACTAGTTGTCGAAAGTGGCCAAGATAATATCACAAAGACAAGGCAAGGCATGAGTAAGTCGCAGAAATTGAATTTGAAGAAAACTAGTTAACGCCTGGTCATTTGATAACCACAACAAAGGAAAGGTCTATGAAAAAGTCGAGTATCATCAAACATTGCACCGTCCGGATCCAGATACCAGTCCAACAAGCATAGCGTTCTCGAAGAGTGGTTTTGAGAGTAGACAGTCAATATATTGTCCAATGTACATATCAACTGCCTAATCCAAAATTTTACGTGAACAATCCATCACAAAGGAAACCACCCAACGCTCTGCCCCTGCCTGAGGGAACTTGGTACAGTAGACAGACAAGACATGCGAGAATGCGGATCAAGCGATCCTACCAAATATTCACAAACAAACGCGAAGGTCATCTACAAGAAATGCACTTCAGCGCTTAGTAGGTGCCGTAGCCGGAACCGTAACCGCTGCCAGAGCCGTAGCTGTTGTCAGGGGTAGGGGTGGCGGCAGGAGGAGTGTAAGCCTCGGTGGAGGAAGAGACGGCAGCCTCAGGGGTCTTGGAGGAGGCAGGAGCGGAGGAGGCACCGCCGTAGCCACCACCAACGGGGTAGGCAGCGCTGGACTCAGCACCGGCAGGGACGGTGGAAGAGGGGATAGCAGTCTCGCCGGTAGGGGTGGCTACCTCAGAGACGAAAGAGAAGCTGGGGAGGACAGAGGTGGCGCTGCTGGGAACGGGAACGGCACCGGTGCCAGTGGGGTAAGCAGGCTTGGTGGAGGTCTTGAAGCCAGTTGGGCCAGCAGGGTAGGGGTTGGTGCCGTTACCGGGGACGGGGTACATGCCAGTAGGAACAGAGGGCATGCCGGAGGAAGCAGTCTGCTCAGAGGGAACCTCAGGAGCGGGGGTCTCGGGGGTAGCAGCAGGGTAGTCACCACCCTTGGTAACAGTGACAGTCTCCTTGGCAGTTACGGTGACAGTGACGGGAGCAGCGCAGTCCTCACCACCCTCGCTTCCAGCAGGAACGGAAGGAGTGGCGTTACCACCGGCAGGGCCGGTAGGGTAGGCGTTCTCACCACCAGCAGGGCCAGTGGGGTAAGCACCGTTGCCACCAGCGGGTCCAGAGGGGTTGGACTCGGAGTCGGCGGGAACGTCACCCTCACCAGTGGGAGTGGGCTTGACGGTGACGTACTTGGTGGAGGTGGAGGTAGACTTGATGGTGGAAGTGACATCCTCACCGCCCTCGGGGTAGGCAGACTCGCCACCAGCAGGGCCAGTGGGGTAGGAGTTCTCGCCGCCAGCGGGGCCAGTGGCCTCAGAGGGAACCTCACCAGTAGGAGTGGGCTTGCCGACAGTGATGACGACAGTGGAGTACTGGGTAGAGGTGGAGGTGGAGGTAACCTCAGTGGTGACTGGGTGAGCAGTCGAGCCAACACCGACAGTGTAGACGAGGGTCTCGGTGTAGGTCTGGACGACCTCAGAGACGGGGTAGGAGCTGGTCACACCGGCGGTGGGGGGGGCCTGGGGAAGTTCACCCTCGGGGCAGACAGTGGTGCCGACGGCAACAACGCTGGTGACGAGCTCGGTGGAGTGAGCCGGGCAGTCAGTGACGGTAGGGGGGCAGGCAGTCTTGGTGAAGATCTGAGTGCTGTAGATGGTGGAGGTCACCATGTCGCTGACAGGGGTGGAAGAGACACCAGCGGGGCGGGATCCAGTGCCAGTGGGGTAGAGAGGGTAGCCAGTTCCGGCCATGCTGCTGGTGGCAGCCTCAGGGACGACTGAGGAGGGAACACCACCGTAGCCGCCACCGACGGGGTAAGAGCCGGAGGGGATAGCGGAGCTCATGCTGACGCCGGGAACGACGGAGCTGCTGGTGGCAGCCTCGGGGACAGCGGAAGATGGGACGCCACCGTAACCGCCACCGACGGGGTAAGAGCCGGAGGGAATAGCGGAGCTCATGCTAACACCTGGAACGGAGCTGGAGCTGGCGCCAGAGGGGACAACGGCGGAGTAGCCAGTTCCGTAGGCGGAGCTGGCAGCAGCGGTGGAGCTGATGGTGGGGATGACAGCAGAGCTGGAGGTAGCAGCCTCAGGGACGGCAGAAGAGGGGACACCTCCGTAGCCGCCACCAACTGGGTAACCAGAGCTGGCAGCAGAGCTGGTAGCAGCCTCAGGGACGGGAGAGCTGGAGCTGGCACCACCGGCAGGGGGGACGGCTCCGTAGCCACCAGCAGAGGTGGAAGGAGTGTAGGTGGCATCAGCAGGGGTGCTGGAAGTCTCGAAAGCTGGGGAAGAGGTCTGGACGTATGGGACCGAGGAGACAACGGGGGTTGCGGAGGTGGAGGCCTCGGGGGTCTCTACGGGAGTAGCAGAGCTAACGACCGGGACGGCAGAGCTGACGATGGGAGTAGCAGAGCTGACAACGGGCACGGCAGAGCTGGATCCAGCAGGGGGCTGGGCGCCGTATCCGCCGTTGTTGGAGCCGTAGCTGTTGCCACCACCGTAGCTGTTTCCTCCACCGTAGGAGTCGGTGGCACCGTATTGGCGACGGGCCTGGCGATGGCTGCGAGCCTCAGCGGCATCGGCGGCAGCGAGAGCGGCCAAGAAGGCAACGGTAAGCTTCATCATGATGAAAATTCAAAAAATCCTAGCTCTTAAAACTGAATGGGTATTGACGAGGTAATTCGAAGGTCCAGGCGAAACGTTGATGATCCAGGAAAGAGTGACTGGATGTTCAAAGAATGTGATGTCCGAAGACAGTGTATAGCGAGTGTGGTAAGGAAAAGTTGCCTTGGGTGAGGAGAAAAAAACACAGCGAGGGAGGGCGGTATATGAAGGCTCTGGCTGACAGTTGCAGGAAGCGGTCTAAGCACCTGGGTGGCTGCTAACGGCAGCACAGATGCGCCCAAGATGGTCGGCCCCTGGCGGGTGTTAATTTCGTTCAGGAACAACCGGCGGCAGGGGCCAGTCAGCGGCGTCGCTAGCCAGGAACAACTTCAGGGGAATGCATGAAGCTAGCCAGTCAGGAGGGCCAACGAGCAACCTCGATGCATGGCAGCCGCTGGGGAATACGCCGGTCGCGAGCTGTCGTCTTTGAGAGGTGAGCCTTGATTTTGCCGTCGTTTTCGCAGCCGACGAAGCCGCTGAAAGAGGTCACGATGATTTACCTGCTCGCCCCCCCCCGTCGCGCTGGCCATGTGCGCTGGGATGGCCCTCGCATAACCTTGTGAATCCATCTCTCTGCTTGCCGGCCGTCCCCATAGATTGCGTTTCATGGCGCTTGGCCAAAATAGAAAGCGACCATGCCGCAGATCCTCCCTGCTAGAAGCATCGACAGGAGCGGGTACCTGGCAGATGCGCGCTGTCGGTGAGCACACAACCGTGCCGAGATTCAGCGCAGACTACGCTGCTGGGCGAGACAAAATTGGACTTGCGCGAGCATGAGTGAGATTCGGCCCATTCCCCACTGCCAGCACACGGTGCGACAGGAGAGACACTGTGCCACAGACGACATCAGCTCGTGTTGAGCGCGTTCTCGTGTTTGCGGAGACGCTTGTCGATAGGCGTGGATAAGGGAGCGGTGGAGCGTTCCATGGTGTATTGGCCGTCTTTGTCCAAGCGTGGGCCATGGTGCGACGCGCGACTTGGGCCTGCCGCTTCACATCTCTGCACAAAGAGCCCCGATGTGACTTCATCGCCGTGGAGCCTGAATCGTCGACGCGCAATCTAGGCTATCGCATTCTGAAGCTTCTAGTCGACATCGCGATCCTTCGTCAAGTCGTATCGACTTCAACGGTCCGCCAAACGTCAAGCCATTGTGCCACATATTCTTTCTTCGGCGGGCCGCGCTCGTCTGTCCTGCTTCGGCGTATAGCAAGGCCACGCCCATGCCATGTGCACTTGAGACATGCCACCGCTGTCAGTGCATTTCCGCATAATACACAGCCACAATCACGTTCGAATCAGTAATCGCGACTACTTCCTCCGTCTCAGTCTGTCGCAAGTCTTCCATTTGCCTGAATGCCTTCAACACAATGAATTTGGTCCTCACCGCCGGGATTCCAGTACCGTGTCCACAGCATGTACGACGCTGGACTGACGTGGAACTGGCGACCGGCTCGTAAGATTGATGAGCTTCCCCGCCTAGTCCCTGCAAAAGCTTGTGCCCTCGAAACGAGCGACACGAGCATGTTCTCGACTCTCGACGAACGTCGACTGATCTCTCGGAAATGAGGTCCCATCGTTCAACTGTTTCCGGTTCGTTTCTCTCGTCTGTGTCGATGTTGCGTGTGGCTGGCCACCCGTCCGCAATGTCATTGTTGAGGCTTGTCTTGTGCCGAGGCGTGGGAAGTAAATGAAGCAATATTGCTGAAGCTGAACATGAAAGTTGTCAAACACAAAGCGGCGCACACAATGCCCAACTGTGAAATGTGCGAGCGCGATCAAGTGCTAAAAGAAAGTCCAGAGAAGGAAACGACAATCGTAGTCTGACGCCTACCAGTTGATATGCCTAGCAGCATCCGCGGAACGGGCTCTCTACTACACGTTGTCCTCGAGGCAAGCACCACTGACTGCGGCCGCATGTTTTCGCGACTTCTGTATACCATCTCAGAATGAATGCCGCACGCTTCTGCCCCGCAGCGCCACATGAAACATGCATTCTCCTCCATTCCTTCTCTCGCCCGTATCCCATCACATCATACCCATCTACTCGGATTACAAACCCGTCGCCCGCATCAACAGCCCATACTAAGCCTTCTTATCAAACTTCTTACATGGCCCGTCTTCATCAATCTGCATTGGCGGATCGTGCCGTGATTCGAAACCATCGCTTGCTTGAAACGAAACGTCAGCCCTACCAGGCTATCCCAACGGCTACCTAGGCACATCTGCGACTCCAACTTCACCTGTTCTTTTCGTGCCTCAGGCTGTTCAAGGCATTAAAGTGCCAAGATATAGTGGGTATGAGGGGTGCAGGTATCCACGATGTTACAACTTCTACTGCTTCTAGTAGATGGAGTCTGGGTCTTCCACCGGCTTAATGGCTAATGTGCGGGGTCGATGACGAGGTCAACATCCCAAGGTGCGCTTCGAGGTAAAGTCTACATTGCAATCTTGAAGTCATGGTACGAGCCGATTGTTTTGTTAAGATTGCTTCATGAAGTCAACTTGTTTCACGGAGCACTGACAGTGAGTCACGCAGTTGCTGAGCTTATGACGTTGAACACGAGGTGCTAGATTGGGTAGTCCACAGATACGTCCTACTTGGTTCCGCTTCGCAAAGCCTGCCATTTTTTCGTACCGTCTTTTCCACTGCAAGGCACTATCACCAATGTGTCGAGAGTCGTCTCGACCAGTATCACGCAAACGTACGGCCCAGAGTCCATACACAAGATATCTTCCTCCAGTGACATACAGGTCTAAGAGTGTACATTAGACTCTTGTCCCTAATGCTGCCCGTTTCCATTCAGACACTTGCGCCGACCTGCCTTTGCCCGCGTATGCGCGCCATCCTTGCCCGGGTTCTTTTTTGCTCAAGGAAAAGAAAATATAAGCCACCGTAATCGATAACATAACATGGGAGAAGAATATCTAGCACCGAGGTTTCAGTATCACGTTCAGCTACGAAATTACTGATTCTGTTGTTGCTTTAGTGAACTACTGCTGCTGTGCATTTGGTGCTTGTGATCAAAGAGTAAGACTTTTGTCCATCGTTTTCTACAGTCGCACCACGGAATGCCTCACTGCCATCATTTTCCTCAATGCCGCTACATCATAGCACACCGGTCAGGATAACGCAATTTCAAACAAATCGCACAAAGTTGCGTTTTAGATCTACTGTCACACATCCGTGCGAACTTGACCATGGTTAGGTGCTGCGCAGTAGTTGTGTGTATCTGAGTACTTTATCGCGAAATGATGATGATAATGATGTCTGGTTCAACACTAGAGACAATTGCGTCAAAGGAAAGTTACAATCCAAAGAAAGGCAAGTGTAGAGACTGTATTTATCGTAGTTCGGGGTAATAATTGACTAGTAAGATGCCTATCTGGCCTTCAGACGGGGGGCTCACGCTTAGCGCTTTCAAGTGAGCTGAACGCCGCAATCCGTGTTGGAAGGAGGGCTAATGCGAGCACGTTTATGGGTGAATGATCCATCATTATTGTCAATTCATCATGTGTCTGTTCCGTAACCCCTGACTATATCTACGTATATAGGACCATTAGCAAAACGTACTGTGCATCCGCGATTGGAGTTGTCAGTAGAAAGACAGTACTTGCAATTGAAACCGTTCCATACATTAACAGGTGAGCTGGGGATGACAACGCTACTACATGAGTTGTCACTGTAGATCCACATTACTGCTGATTGTCAACACGTTCGTCGAGGAGAATCTATCGAGGCTGTTAATTTGCAGATGTTATTGGCATTGTTGCCCAAGGCGATCGTGGCTGTGACTTGCGAGGCGAGAGGCCCGAAGGCTACGACAATGGTAGAGATGGATTGTATGTTTGTAATTGAGAGGTGGAGAGCTTGGCTTGCGTCGAAGATGAGATTGCTTAAAGTGATGAAACTGATTTGAGTTTGCGACCGGGCACGTTTTGATACGGCTTTCCGTCATCGGGTTGCACATGCTGGTACCGTACAGCGTACTTGAATCTTAACAAGGCCGCTTCATGCTGCTTATGTAGACAAGAGAGTAAAACCTTCCTGCAGTCGAAGAATTTGGGCTATGAAACAAAGCAAGAAAGATTTCGTTGAAAGTACTTGTAGCAGGTAAATGCTTGGACAGTAAGAGGTCAATATCCCTTGAAACTCACGCGTACCCCCATGACTGGTAGACGAGGCAGGTGCTAGACGATTGGCGCCAGCAGTTGTGGGCTTTCCGTGGTTGATCAGTGTCATCTACGAAGAAGAAACCTGTTAGTCAGTGGTGTGCTAAAAGAGGACCTCTGGAGCTCTGAACGCCTGTACTACTTGCAGCACTCTCAATCATTTGCACATGATGATGGATGGAGATATAGTTTCCATCTTGGATATGCGATTCGTATCCAGACAAATAGTGCCTAGGTAATAGGCACACTTGTCACGAGCCACAACAAGTAGGTAGGCAAATACGTTACCTAGGTATCCTGTCTCTTGCTTGCCTTTCTACTAGCATGTCGGTGAGTACTTCTAGAGTGATTGGTGGTAAGTGTAATGTGCAGTAAAGAGAGCTTTGTGGCAAGCATTCACTCTATCAAAGATGAAATCTAAATATCTCTTTAGAGCATATGCAGGTAGTACTATTTCCCAATACATCAAAGCGTATTAGGATATTTGTAGACATATAAAGATTGATAGTATTATAGGCTTCTAAGTCTTCTTTTTAAGCTCTTTTGTCAGGGACTACCTCGGTAGTAGGGCTGCTTATTTCTATACCTGTTTGATTTTCCCTAGTATGTGGTGCACTCAAGGTTCCGTTCAGCGTTGCCCCACCATGGACGCACAGATCCGACATCACGGCAGGGCCGCCCCATATTCGAAAACAACGTTCAGACACCAAGATTACATCTTCTTCCTCAAGCGACTGGGCTAAGCCAGAAGACTTAATGAAAAAGGTAGGTTCGCGTCGGCTCCCGATAGTGCGGATAGGAGCGACACTGTGCCGACAAGTATGAGCAAGCCCAGTGACTTGCCAGCTGGTTTCAAAAATAAGAATAATCTTGAATTGGTCCGTAGACCAGTTTCAGAGATTAAACTGAAAAGAACAGATACTACACTTGATCTAAGCCAAAAGGCAAAGAGAGCTGCCGAATAAACGAAGGGCAGGAGGAAGGCCAGTTTATATAGACTCTGGAAAGCTCTGAAAGACGCTAGTGTTCTAGTCTCGCACCAGGCGTTGCCGGGCCAATCATGACGTAAAGAGCCGTAAAGAATCGAAAAGCTGGACTGGATAATGTGGAACGGTAGGCGGTAACGGCGAAATTCTACGTTGTGTGGGTCAGGCAGAGGCACAATGACTCTGATTCGATAGGGAGGGTCCGCAAGGAGCCGAAATTCCGGTGTGCATTGAGCCGTATTGCACAACGTGTGCATAATTATGTTACCCTGGGCTATTCTAGTGATCGACGAGTAACTTGCAACTAGAACAGCACTGGAGCACCTCGTATCTTGCCGGCTGAGTGAACGTACCATTGCTCTGCTGTGAGATGACCTTCTTGTTGTTTTCGCTTGGGTGTCTTTCGATATCTCACACACTTCTCGGCAAGCCTTTGGCTGGCATGATTTTGGCGCACATCGTAACCTGGGCAGCCTGCTGATAAAAACACAACCTCTCCGTCAACCTTCCTGTGTGCCACTACTCGCAAGTTCAAGCTGAAAGAACAAGTAAAATGCCGGGTTGGGGATGTAGCATAGTGCATGTAGGTATCTGCCTAAGCACGCAGGGCAAAAGAGCTTTTGTGGTAGAACAGCTACCGTTCTACATAGGCACCTTTGTGGATAGCATTGGCATGGTTATCTCCCTCGCGCGAGCGTATTGCAACACCGTATTGGGTTTTTATCAGATTGGCGTACTACAGTCAGTAAAGAGACCCTAATCAATACCCACGGATAGTTCGTAATATATGGAAGTTACATGTAGGCGACGCTACGACCTGCCAAATTCGTAATCTTCGCGCGGAAACAGTACCTAGGTACGCTGCGAGAATTACGCACTTGATCAGAGAATCCATAACGAGTGGAAGCTTTGGAGGACATACCTGGTAATCTTTTAGTTACCGTATAATATGTAATGGCTGACCTCGGGAAGCTGGTCATTGGTATCTAAGTAAGACCAGAAGAAGCCCCTATGGTCGTGGTCCAAACCCCATAATAGGCATTACTTGTCTATCAGAGATGTCACATCACTTGCTAGAGGTACTCCTCTAATAGGTACTTTATTAAAATTTACATTTGTTGCTCGTCTTAGCTTACTAAAAGCTAACTAATTGTACCAAGTTGTTTGTATTAGCAGGCAAACGGAGGCGCGCTTTTCTTCGTGTTCGTAAATTACTACATTGGGACAGGCCGACGCACAACGCCTGCCCACTCTCTGACTAGTGAGGTTCGATGTATGGCTCACGGAGGGATACGTAACCCTATGGCATGGTGTATCGCATTTGGTAGATTCCTACAGCCATACAGAGACCCAGTCTTGCACGTACCGAGAGCGTTAGCATCGGCGTTCCTACAGTCAATCTGGACTTCACTGCTCTTAGAGTGGTCACATACACATTCTAATGCGTGCCGAGGCCATGGAACCGCCCCGTGGTCAAGACGTATGACCAGCCTGATCAATGTAACGCTAACGGTATGCCGTCTACTGTAGATGACAAGCGGCTCACGACCGACAAGCATCTCCTCACGTCCTCGTTGGAGACATGCAGGAACGAAAACAACCTTGGAACTTTAAAATCGATATGATTGCAAGGCTAAATCCAAAGATGCCTCAGCTGTGGCCCCCAATGACATCAGGACCAATACTCCGTGGTTTGAGTGACTGCGGGGTTGAGCATAGTGTATACCTAGGTAGCTGGTAGGGTTATAACACAAATGGATAGCATCAGGTGCAGATGTCGTAGATATAGACGCCCCCTTTTTTTTGGACTATGAACACAACCTTATTAGCAAGAGTGCGGGCACAACCTGTCCACTTTAGACAATAACATCGCCTGGTGGTAGTCGGATGATCTCTAATCCAGTAACGGGGTATGTGGTCAAGCACATCAAGTGGTCTGCGCACTGGTCTTTTTGTCTCGCGAGCTCTTTCCTGGACCACGGTATAATAGTGGTCACTTCTTCGTTCTGTTCTGGAAGCTCCTTTCCTATTCGCCATGTTTCCTTAGGTCCTTCTCGAACCATGGTTGCGTAGGCAACTGTCTAGTATAGAAAGATCACAACGCACTCTTCCACACTTCTTCTTTATCCACCACAGCTAGTAAGTTTTACTCCCCTATTAATAACATTTTTATGAAAGCTGTGCGATCACCCAAGACAGGTACACACAAGCAAACGACCCCATGGATACTGTCGCCCAAGGTTGGACCAACGTGAGGCCAGAGGAGGATGGCCAACGCTTCACAGAGCGCTCCGCTGAGCGCCGGCAACTCTTTCTGAAACTCCAATCACTCCAACCCCAACCGGTATTTCCTTCGATTACCTGGGCGTTTCTCCAGATCGCCGATATCGAAGTAATCCGGGAGGCGGTTCAGAGCCATCGGATCAGGCAATTATTCGCAGACCGCGATCATGGCCTCGTCACAGAAAGAAATGCGTTGGACACAATTCTACTCTGGTCTCAGAAACAACCCAGGAAAGACCCGACAGCAGCAAGTGCAACGTCGACACACTCGCAATCCAAGACAGTCTCCAACCAACCACCCTCGAAATCTCGCCTTCTCAATGCCAATATACTAGCCGGATCTAAGCGAACTCGATCCGGACATATAATTAGTGGCCCAGAATACAGTGTTGGCCGATACGATGGCGTTCGGTCAAACTGTAAGAAGCGGGATGGATACCTTTGCGCGGTCTCGAGGATGGCGGAAATCGACGCCGCCCATATTTACCCATGGTGCGGTCTTGGAGGCCAGAATGAGGAGCGAATGGTGAGATTCTGGGACACTCTGAAGATGTTCTGGAATGCAGAACTAGTGGAGAGTTGTCGTAGTAAGTTGTTTGTGGACGCTAATAATCCAAATCGAGGAACGGAGACAGTGGAGAACATGATCTCCCTCTCGGCCCTCCTGCACCGGTATCACTCCGCTGCTCGATTTGCGCTCCGACCGATACAACTGTCAGACGATAAGACAAAACTCGAACTCGAGTTCCATTGGCTTGTTGTTGAAGGGCGCAAACGCCAGGATGGGGTGAACATCATGGATGAACCTTTGTCTTCGGCCGACCGACTTTCGGCTGGCAGGGGTTACGGCCCACTCGATCGGATTGATCCCAACGACGACACTATCCACATTCCACTAGTCAGCGGAACTAGATTCACCATGTCGACCGATGATCCAGTCCAGCGACCCCTCCCAGATACAGGCCTCTTGACGTTGCAGTGGCACCTTCAACGTGTCCTTGCCATGTCCGGAGCGGCTGAGTGGACGGAGGAGGATTTCGGCAACGACGATGATGACGACCAGGACGGACAAGGCGTTACATCTTGCGATAACGTGGAAAACTGGCTCCAGAACGTCGAGCCTCCGGAGAATCATTGTCCGAGCCAAATCTCTCGAGAAAGCCATTCGGAAGACGGCGTAGATGGTTCGTTTGAATAAACGATATCTGCCCTAAGCATCTTTAATCACAAATCTCAAACTCCCTTCATATGTTAAACGGAATGTGCAGGAGCCCCTCCGCATAAGCAAGCCAAACGTCGAGATCTGGGCCTTCCTTCCCCTCCGAGCTCAGATACGAACTTCTCTGAACGCCCCGACTGCGCGAGCAAGATAAGCTTGACGACTTTGCCTCAACTCGGGCCCACGGCCACGAAGTTATCAAGCGAGTTCTGCCGAGTCGGTGGTGAAGAGAATAAGGAGCCTAGTCTGCGACACTTGCGAGGGGTTCCGACACTTCAGAGATCCCGCCGGCGTAGCATATGAAGTAAGTCCTTGGGGCCGTTTGCTTACTTTGTACATGTTTTGTCTCGCGCGGGGTTTTTGGCTTCGGCTGTTTCCCCGTAGAAAAAAAAACTGGGAGCCAAAACCCTACTCTTACCTCCCCGAGTCACGTCGTCAGCTCACACTGATTGGCGTGCGGTGGCTCCTGGAAACTAGTGTGGCTTGTACACCTAGGCTGACAAGAGGGGTGATGTTTGTGTTCTATGGGTCTACTGTGAGTCGGCATAGAGCTATCTCAAAGACTCTTGCTATCAGCTGACACCGGGTACTTGAATTTTTGCTACTGGTGGTTTTACGACAACAGTAGGCAATCATTTCTCGCTTCGCTACTAAAACGAACAGCGTTCAATCAGCTTTTCCGGCACGAATAAACACCGGCTGGATACGTACAGTGGAGGAGGCATGGATTCAGAAAAAGGCTCGCAGTCTCTCACGGTATCAGCTCTAGATCATTATAAATTCACACTCATTTTCACTCACATCTTCTCTAAGTCTCCTCTTGTATCCATCTTCTGCTACCACCACACACCACGCCTTGATCCCTCCTCAATCTCAAACCCAACCCTCACTCACGAACTACAACCCTGACGCCCCACCAGCACTTTATTCTCCCCCTCACCTGCGCAACGCCCAACTCCACTTCCGCGATCCTAAAACACATTCTCATTCCCACACCGAAGCTCTCTCGTCCACTCTATACCCTCTTTGCCGTCCTCGCTCGTAACAGCCGTGTGTTCGACTTCTCCCACTTGAAAGAGAAACACCTGGCCATGCATATTTTTGCGAACTGCATGTCTGGTCAGGAATTTTACTATCGTCAACTGAAAAGTCTTACCTCGCTACCCACTCCACTTCTAGTTCAGGAACGACTTTCGAAATCTAGAACTCTGAGATCTCTGCAATGAGATGATGCCGATGTGTCTGAATGCACTAACCGATTTGTACCTTCCTTTGCTTCGGTGAACAAGTGCCTTCTATGTTCCCAAAATTGACACTGAGGTCATATGATAGCGGTGATGGAACTATTTCCTACTTTTTCATGATCTAAGAAAGCTCCCGCGGCAAAATGTCCATGCAGATAGATGAACCAGCATATCTCCTGACACACTAGATTTGAATAAGGACTTCATACCACAATTGGAGAACAAGCATTTAGCGCTTCGAAGCTTTGTCAGGGCGTGATCGCTCTCCTTTATGACGATGCATTGCGATTCACTCCCTCACGTCTTAAGAGTTGCGAGCCACTTGTCGTAAATCTTCACGGACTTCCCACCCTTCAACACCAGCCTACCGTTCTTCTTCGTTGAACTCTCTTCTTCAGCCGCCTCGAGCTTCTCGCGAAATTCTGCAGTCTTTCTCTCATCAAATGCACCCTGAAGATCCTCGCTGTCTATGTAAGACTGTGCAAATGACCAAGCTTTATTGTATACATCTGACTTGCTGTGTACTGTCAGAGATAACTAGCAGGACTGCCCATGATAGTAATCACGGTGAGATTGGCTGGCGACTTGATGTGCTTACTTATGTACGCACGAAGAACAAGATTTCAGGCGAGATGATACGTGATCCATTGCATTACCATGATGCTGGGTACCAACATCTCAACGTTCCAGCATCTCAGCATCCCTCACACTAATATACCCAACGCCACTATCGCTATGCATAATCTCGTACCACGACACAAACGCCTTACCAATGCTACCATCAATAATTATATATTACAGATCCCATGGACTACCAAAGAGATAAGACCTGCCGGTTTGTACGCTCCTTCACGAAGACGTAGAGCACATTGCTCACTATCTTCCCAATAGCCCTGAAAACCAATTCGCAAGGTTCTTCCCACCCATACTGGGGGTAAATGAAAGTACGCTATCTGCATCTCTATCTCTATCGCTGCCACTCTCCTGAAGACTGTCTGTACTGCTGTTTTCAGGCGTATGCGGATTGGCGTCTAACGTCTTATGCGAGCCAGATTTGATCACCCTGGAAGAAACGTGTGGGAAGGTCATGCCGCGTGAGCGAGGCGACGATGCATCTAGGCTGAGCTTTCCTCGATCACCAAAGCTGTGGGAAGTTTTAGGTGTTCGGTGCGACTGAAAGGTTCTGGGCGTTCCACCTCGTGAGATTGAGAGTCGTGGCTCAAAGACCGAAGAGTGGATAGGGGAGGACGTATCCGTATCACACGATGTGAATGGTGATGTGATAGCTATTGGTATATTGCGATGGGTCCCAGACGTAATGCTTAGTAGCGTAGACGTTGGGACATGGTCTGTCTCGGATATTGAAGGGGTTTCATCAGCTCGTGCATCGTTGTTGACCACTCTAATGGTTGAAGTAAGAGGGCTGTCACTCTCCGTAATTGTAGACGTCGTCATCACTGCTGTTAGATCCAACCCCGTTGCCGCTACAAGTTTGGTTTGCATCGACAAGGGAACACCAGCGGTCTTAACGCAAGGACGGACTGTGAACTGTCTTTTGGGGAGATCTAAGACGAGAGATCAGCTCAAACACAAAAGGGAAGGCTAAGAATAGATGGCAGGTGTCTAGGCAGCACCACCTTCATCTGCCTTGGCCTCCTCTGGGTTTTCTGCTGGGGCTTCAGCCTCTCCATTCTGGCCTTCAGCACCGTCGCCGTTGGTCGCTGCCGCGGCGGCGGCAGCGGCAGCGGCTTCAGCCTCTCTCTGCTGTTTCTCCGCTTTGGCTCGTTGTCTTGCAGCTTCCCGCTCAAAGTTCTCCTTTCGCGCGCGCTCGTCTTTCGCTTTGCGGAGGCGCTCTGCCTCCTCGACGCCGCCACTCTTCTTGAGCTTGCCCTCCTCGACAAAGTTTCCAAGCTCGCGCTTGAACTCATCATCGTTCCTAGTCTCAAGATCACGCTGTCGCGCCTTCTCAGCCCGCTCAATGGCCTCAAGCCTGCCTTCGTGGTTCGGCTGCAGGGCTTTGACTTCGCCAAGCACACCATCTCGAGCCTGACGTGGATCCACGGCTTTGTCAAGAGCAACCGCATTGAGCATGTTGCGGCCACTAGCGGAGCGCATACCCTTTCCAGCCTCTTTCTCACTTTCAAGATTCTGCTGTTTGGTCGCCTGCTCAACCAGTTCAAGTGTTTGTGCTGCTTTTTCGAGATCGTCCTGCAAATCGGCCGCCAATTCTTCCTGCATGGTGAGCATGTCTCGCTCTTCGCATACAGTCTGTAATTCCTGTTCCCAGATCTTGGTCCAGAGGGGTTTCTCTTTAGCGAGGAGATCCTGCAATTTCTTGAGCTCTGCAGTAGCAGTCGAAAGATCCTTCGCAGTAGTCTCCAGCTGACGGGGAAGAGGTCGCACACCACGTAGGACCACGTCCTTTCTGAGATCCTCAACAAGATCTTGCAGGTCGTCCACCCTGTTAACAATCTTCTCTGAGTCGTCCTGCAGGGCCTTCTTCCCGGTGTTGATGTACGCGCGACCGCTGTCTCCATCAAGCGAGGGCAAGGCAGCCTTTATAGCAGTCGATTTAACAGCACTGGCTTTTGTGCGTATCGTTGACATGCTAGCCTGTATGTCCGACACAAATGATGAATAGGTCTGTCGGACGACTGCCAGATCACGACGCAGCGACTGGACCTCGCTAAGTTGGGTGGCCGAAGTAACATTGTCAGGGGAAGGCGCGCCTATTGCAATAGGGCGAGAAGGAAGTAGTGCAGAGTTGCGAGCTGAAGAGAGAGGCGCTGCGGAAATCCCAGCGATCTCCTTCGTTGTTTGTTGTTGACGTTCGGCCACTCGTTGTATGGTTGCCTGCTGATCTTCGACTACTGTCTTTATGCTCTCGACAAGTTTGCTGAGTCCGCCAAACTTATCGTCGATGTGACTTTTTACTTCGTCGAGTTGTTCTACGTTTAGGACGAGCACAGATCGATCTTTGATGTCGTGGATATCCTCGAGCTCGTACCGTACGCCAGAAACAGGATCCTGGATGTGGATCTCAGGCAGATCGCCGTAACGGTGGGTATCCCAGGCAAACTTCTCGATGAAAGCAAGCTGTAGCCGAGCGGAGGAGAGCTCAGCACCGTCTGTGAAGACATATTTCTTGATTTTGCTTTTATATTGAAGGAACAAGGTAAGCTCTTTTCCTTGCTGAGGCGATTGCTCTGGGATGAACTGTGAAGGTTGTGGAGATGGTGTCTTGGCTCTGTAAGAGCTGTTGCGGCTGGCTGTAGGTCTGGATGGTTCTTCTTTCACTGGCGATGCAGATCCAAGCTCAGCCGGCTCTGATAATGGACCGTTCAAAGTAGCACCTAGTGAAAGCTGGTCGCTTTCCGGGAATCGTGGCTGTGCGAGCTTGTCGTCTGGTGTCTTTTGAACGGGACTGTCTTCGGGCCCATTCTCTCTAGGTGGTAGAATGCTCGGTGCGGTGCTCTGAGAACTTTCCTCGGATATGCGTCTTTCGTTGGGCTGATCGAAAGAAAACTTGGTTTCCACAGCAGGTCTCTGTTGCGTTAAACTCTGATTCGACCGCTGGCGGTTGTGCATCATGGATGCTCTCGTTCGAACTGCATTCATGGATTCACGTACATCCCGTCCCCTATTCGGTATGGGCGAATTTTGCACTGGTGGAAGTGGAATGCCATTTGTTCCAAGATGCTTCTGGATCTGGTATGCTGAAAATCGTCGTGAAGCCCTGCGTTCAAGCTCACCACCTCTTTGCAATGCTGCCAGCGCATCTTCCTGTTTCGGTGGGGGTGGAGGTGGAGGGAAGTCGACGGGGTAGTTGGGTCGCGGGGGGTCGGGTGTCTTGGGCATGGCATCGTCTGCTGGATACGGAGCAACGACAGGCGTCTGCTGAGCAGTGCTGCTCGATATGGACGAGTCTGTGGAGAGCTGGCTTGCGGCGGTCGAGCGGTTCGCTTTCGGGTTCGAAGGGAGAGCATCGTACTTGCTTGGAGAGGCCCGCCCTCCAGCTACCGAAGATGAACGTGGTGGAAGATCAGGGCCCCCAAACGCTGGGCTGTCACCTCTCGAGGGGAGCCTTTGGCTTGCTGATCTTGGCTGTTGATGTTCCTCAACCTCACCACTGCTCCCAACGCTGCCCTGACGCGGGCTACCACCACCGTTGAGAGAGCCATCTCTTCCTGTGCGCTGCCGTAACCGCTGTTGCTTCTTCTTCAGGCCGTGGAGCAGGTTTATTATGATGTCTCGTATCCGCGGGAGGAAATTGTCGAGGCTGGCTTGTGATGCTTCCTGGCTCAGCGTCTCCTCTAGTATGCCACGCAGTAACTCTGGGACGTTTCCGAGGTCGTTGGTATCGACGCCGATTGCGTTAAAGGCGCGTGACGCGATGTTGAATTCATAGCCCAGACGCACGTAGACGTCGGAGACCTCGCTCTCGGTGGCTGTCCCGCGCGACCATAGCGTCAACGTCTCTGCAGCGTGTTAGCAGGTGTTGTATGCGGGGCTGCATGCGCCGTGGACGGACCGAGGAGCTGCTTTGTGGCGACGAGCAGATGTGTGACGGACTTTTCTATCTGCGAGAGCTGCTGCTGGGGCTGCATTTCATCTGTGGTCAGTGGCTGTTGTTTGGTGTTGGGCGCGGAGAGAGAGAGAGAGAGAGCGAGGGAGAGCCCATGTTGCTGCACGTACATTCTTGGGCGCACGGCGTGAAGACCCCTGAGACGAGCGGACAGAAGACGACTCCTCTGTCATGTTGCCGGGTTGGTGTGGCGCAGGTGTGCGGCGTCAACAGCAGAGTGAAGGGCCGGACTGGAAGCGCGAAGGCACGACGACACTCTATCCCGGGCAGCAGTGTTGGCGACCACGTTGGGTGCACCGACGTCTGAGATGTCTGGGGCGAGCTAACACGAGAGTGGCTGGGCGGCACGTGGAGCAGTCTCACCTCCAACCTCGTAGAATTGTTTATTCCATGTGCCAAACGTCTCTACGTCATGGGCGGCGACAAGAGGTTTGTTGTGGGAAATGGTGCAGCGTGGCTTTGGTGTTGGCCGTCTGCGTCTTGGGCATGTGTGGCTAAGGGCGAGTAACCCACCATGGAACATGTCATGCTCCGTCGCCCAGCATACGCTTCTGACATGAGTCTGCCATGTAGCCACCACGGCAGCTGCAGACCAGCGCAGACTACGGCCGGCGTCCGGCCTATCTTCGCGCTACTCGATCAAGCTGCTGCTGGGTGCGTGGTTGACTGGGGTAACCATTGTGTGCATGCACCTCTAGTATGCTTGGAGCGCAACGAACAGGTGTTGCCCCGTAATTGTAGATGCCCTCTCTGCGTCTTCTGCTCGACGTGGGCGCGCCTCGGACGCCAAAACCATGTGCAGAGCAGAGTGAGGCGCGACGTCTAGCCTACGACAACGACGCTCTTGGCGACGAGCGCAGCCCTGAACAGGCCACGATCAATTGTCACTGCTGTCGTCTGCTCGACTGGCCCGGCTGTCTCGCTCCCACCGTCTCCTCTATTCATCTCGCGCGCCATCCTGCGGCCATCCTGACCGTTGCGCTCTCGTGCCGTCAACCGAGCATTCACGGCTACTGCCTGAGGCTGGCCTAGTTCCCGCACCTTGCACTTGTGTTTCATCCAGGCGATCCGCTTGGCGTTGCACCTCACTCTCGACCTCTGGCTGCTGTTCGGGCACAGCCTCCTATACCAAGTCACCACCGCAACTCCGCCGTCCGGCTGCCCCCTTCCAAAGCTCGTCGACTCTGCGCCTGCTGCCGCATTGAGCGTCTTGCGCTACTCTCACCCTAGAGTTGGAGCTCCTTCCTCCCCCGCCCATCGCTCCTTCTCCCGCAACCACAAACCGAACCACCGACCCACGCTACTGAGCTCGCCCGCGTTTCCCTCTCCCCATCCATGTCCGCTGCCGCTGCGACTCCGAATACCTCCTCCAATGCTCTAAACCCCGCCTCCAATTCCGCCAGGCAACTGAAGATGAGCACTGCGGCCAAAGGCATCGACGCACAGCGAAAGCCCGGAAGCCCCATCGACGGCGGTCACAAGTAAGCTCATGCTCCTTACACCTTCCACATGAACATTTCCCCTGCCTCCTTGCCTCGCTTGCTCCTTGTCCAAGAGCCTGCTTGCATGCCATGAGTGCTTCCACAATGCGGCATATTCTCGTGTGACGTGCCGTCGGTCACATGGAGTCACGGCGCGACTACCCTGTCCACTAGACGGCTCCCTCCTCGTACATTGTGCTCAATTGCCTTACATCACCATGTTCTTTCTTCCACACCACTCCATCCACCTGCACCTGGCCCAATGCTGACTTCGCGACTTGCAGAAAACCTCCCGCCAAATCGGCATGGACCCAGGGCACCAATCCCATCACCCAGCGCCCGACTCACTCTCCCACCCCCAACGGTGCTGTCAACTCACCTAAGCCCCCACAGAGCTCGACGGCTGCCTCCGCCGACAACGCTTCCGCCATGAGGCACCTCAGCGACCGCATGATGTATCTGCTGGCCAACCTGACTGTAAGTGCCAGCTGGCTCTCAATGCAGCACGAGTGCGCAAGACTGACCATCACAAACAGGGGCTCCCGGGCATCATCACACTTAAGAATGGTGACAAGTACTCCGGTGTGCTCTCAGGCACCTCACTAGATCCTAGCGAGTTACGATATGTCTTCAAGATGGTCAAGAAGCTCTTGCCCGCGAGCAACGCTCAGACCAACGGTGCCAGCCAGTCATCCGACGACTACGTTGGCTCAGGGGACTACCACGTAATGTCATTTGACATGAGCGACGTGGCTGATTTCAATGTCAACAACGTGGTTCTCGACAAGTCCCAACTGAAGGGCCCAAATGGTAAGTGCCAGATTCCAAAACTAATCCGCATGCCACGACTAACAAAGAAGGCGCTTCTGGCTTCCGCACTGACACCGACATTTCTGGCAAGCTCGAGCTCCGCGAGCGCAACCTCCAGAAATGGGAACCGTCCGAGGTAGCTCCCAACATGACTCTTGAATCCACTGGACGGACCGGCGATTGGGATCAGTTCGCCACTAATGAGCGCATGTTCGGCGTGAAGAGCAACTACGACGAAAACCTGTACACGACTACAATCAACAAGAACGACCCACAGTATGCGGAACGGGCCGCCCGCGCTGAGAAGATCGCTCGAGAGATTGAGGGCAGTAGCGCAACCAACTCACACGTTCGCGAAGAGCGAGGAGGATACACTGCGGCCGACGACAACGGCGACGAAGAGGACAAATACAGTGGAGTACGACGAGACTTTCCAAATTTGTCAAGCGGCCAGTCCAACCGATACACCCCACCCGCACGACGTGCCCCCGCCCCTGAAGCGACAGTGCCTGGCGCGCCAGTAGACCCTGCGATAATCTCATCCTCTGTTGCACGACCTGTCTCGCAGTCGACACAACGTGCTGCAAGTCCCGCAAAGCCAGCAGCTGGTACACCTGAGCCTACGAAAGTCCCGGAAGCCGTTAATGATGCTTCCAAGGCGCCATCAAAACCCACTGATGCGCACAAGGCTATCACGGAGCAATTGCAGAAGCCAACTAATATGATCAAGTCGGGCGTCGCTGCCATCCCTCCTAGGAAAGCTGGACGGCCACATGATGCCACTACAAACGTTGAGCACGATCTTCTCGATTCGTTCAAGCAATTTTCGGCTGCTGAAAAATTACGCATTTCCGACCGCCAGAGGCAGTTTGCTCGAGAGAACAAGGCTGTAAAGCTTAACGATCTCAAGAAGTTTGCGCTCAATTTCAAGTTGAGCACGCCTGTACCGTCAGATCTTGTGCCCATACTCGCTAAGGACGAGACGAAGCAGCAAGCCATCGTTGACAAGGCCAACCGACAAGCTCAAGAGATGAAGACTACATCTCCGAAAGCATCAAGCAGTATTGCTGACCCAAAGGCTGCTGCACGCTCTGTTGTGAAGCCTGAAACCACTCAAGCCTCTCCTAGCGCCAACGTAGACCGTCAACAAAACCAACGTCCCCGACCAGGGCAGCCAGCCTATACATCTGCTAGTATGCGGGGCTCTCACCAGAACATGAACCAGGTTCCTCCTCGTAACCAGGGACTTCTCAGCACTCGTTTGCAGATGAACCACCAGCAGCACAAGCAGCAAGGTGCTGTGCCCTATAACGGTGTTCCTCAACCGATACCAGCTCAGGACATGCGCATCCCACCTACTGGTCCTTCGCAACCTTCGAGCGGTGCCCAGACACCTTCTTCCAGTGTATCTACGAGGTTCAACGTCCGCGCTCATGAGTTCAAGCCGAACCCGGCTGCCAGTACCTTCCAGCCTGGCGGAACTCCCAGTGCAACCTCTAGCCCTAGGCCGAACTCTTCAAGACAAGAAGTACGCAAGCCTCCTGTCACAAACTTCTTCACTGGCCAACGGCCCACTGTGAAAGCGCTGGATGGACCGACAACCTTCAATGCCATCGGACGCCTCGAGAAGGAAGCCCAATCGAGTGATAAGCCCCATCACTCCGATATTGCGCCTCCGTATAAGACACCTCCTACCTGGGACTTCCCTTCTTCGAACACACATAAGGGATACGAGCAGCTGTTCGACCATGCCCCTCCACCCGCACCGTTGTCGGTACCACAACACTTTATGACCAATGGTCCTATGCCCCATCAGCATCAATTACCACCTCATCTTCAGGGCACCCAAGGTATGGCACAAGGGCCGGTAGCTCAACACACGCCTCGCGGACCACCAATACAGCCGCATCTTGGCCAGGACCAGCATCACTTCGGGGGTCAACACATGCAGTATTCGCATTCGACGTCATCGGTTCAACCTTCACCACGCCCTATGGCGCCATACATGTATGGCGCGCAGCCACAACCGATGCCAGGCTATCCTCAGCAAGTCCCGCAGTATGGTATGAGTCCCGGCATGCAGCACGCCACCATGCGGAACCCACAAGGCGGCCAGTTCATGAATGGCCCAGGGCCGGCGATGGGTGGCCAAATGATGACACAACAGCCGTCAAACGGACCTTTCATGGGAATGCCTGGCAATCCGCAGATGCAGATGTACTCTCCCGCTCCCGCTCCTGCGTACCCCCAATACGGTGCTCACATGCCTGGTCCTGGCGCTAGCGGATTTCCTAGCCCTAGGCCGGGTGCGCCAATGATGAGCCATCAAGGATCACAACAAGGACACCACCAACAACCGCCCATGATGTATATGCAACCTGGTGCACCAGCTCCTCAGATGTACCAAATGCAGCCAGCAAACAGTAGGTAGCACGTCAGTGACTGACCCGGCATGACTAACATCACTCCAGTGACTCCAATGCGAGGACCTTTCCCACAGCCATACCAGGGCGGCCACTATGGCTCACCGCAGCAGCATCACCAGTTTCCCCAGCAACATCGTGGTACACCCAGTGGAAGCTACTCGCAGCCTATGATGCAACAGCACTCGACGGGTCCCCAGGCTCCGCCCACTGGTCCCGCTAACCATGCACCGGACGGCAGCAACGAACCTAAATGAGAGCCTTCAAAGTAAGCTGGCCGTAGATGAGCGGTGTCCGCAGCGGCCTGCTTCCTAAGTTTCGCGACATGCTCTCCGTGTCTGTTTACCAGATTTTGCTATGCGCTTAGCGTGGATGGGTTGATTAGTCACCGTGATGAGTGGCTTGAGGCATAGCGACAGGCGTTGGCTGGGCATGATAGGTGCATAAGGGATTACGGTATGGACCATTGAGTCATGGACATGCAAGATACGACAAGGGAGAGAAGGAGCTGCCACGTTCGCTACGCTACACGCGATCGCAACGTGCCACGGAGGAGCAAGTCATGAGAATTGCTTTGGCGTTCTCCGACCACGAGCAAGCGTTGAAGGGGGCAAGTGGAAAACTACAAGCAAGAAGAGCACGTTCATGCGAGCGCATGCTTCTCTACCACTATCAATACTATCAAGTTCAAAATCCACGTTCATGTTCTCGTGCCAGTGAAGACCCACCCCTGCTTATTATGCAGGTGACATGGATCACCAGGCACAGATCTGACCCACCTGCTAGCGTGCAGCCAGCATTCCGCGCTCCCGCAGCCATTCCGACACTACCCCAGAAGACAGCTACTCCCAGCTTCCCCTTCCGTACACGCTTCTTATGTCTGTGTATACTGTATGCCGACTTCAGATGAAGACTTGGAACTACACAGCATGAGTGACGCTGCCGCAGAGCCCCTGATTTCCAACGACCGCGGCGTTCCGCATGATGTACGCGACCGCTACGATGAAGGCGACAATGAGAGTATAGGAGAGGATGAGGTCGACGAGAGTGCACTCTTATCTCCAGGGCTATTTATATGGTGTCTGACTATATGTGCTGGGGTTTCTGGGCTGCTGTTTGGATATGAGTATGTATCCATGCATGGTTGCGATTCTTTGTGCCATGTTTCAGGGCATCTACACCGGTGGAAGCAAACACATACTGACAAGGTCGCAGCACTGGTGTAATTTCCTCCACGCTCATATCTATAAATACCGACCTCTCCTCCCGACCTCTTACCACCCTCGACAAGAGCTTGATCACGTCTTGCACCTCGTTCTTTGCGCTTCTGGCGTCGCCTTTAACGGGTATTCTCGCTGATACATACGGTCGTAAAACTGTGATCCTCGTCGCGGATATACTCTTCATACTTGGTGCACTGTTGCAGGCATGGACAAGCACTGTTGGAGGTATGATCGCAGGTCGGTCCATCGTCGGCGCGGCAGTCGGAAGCGCGTCGTTCGTTGTACCTTTGTATATTTCTGAGCTGAGTCCCAGTCCTTTCAGGGGGCGACTGGTAGTGGTGAGCAGTCTTTTCATTACTGGAGGTCAGGTTGTCGCTTATATCGTTGGGTGGCTTTTCTCGGAGAAACTGCATGGCTGGAGATGGATGGTTGGTCTGGGGGCCTTACCAGCTGCCATACAATTCGTCATGCTGTTCCTCCTCCCTGAGACACCGCGATATCTTGTCAAGGCTGGACAAATTCAACAAGCGAGGAAGGTGCTGGGCAGAGTGTACAAAACCGACGAAAATGGGACAAAGTTGGTCAATGCCGTACTGAGGCGTGTGGAGAAGGAGATTGAAGAGGAAGAGGATGTTGCGGGATTGCGAGGTACTCATGATATGACTAAGAGTGGTTGGAGAGCCAAAATGGACAGGATTCAAGACAACTTCTCCCAGCTAGTTGCGATTGGGGGCAATCGTAGAGCGCTGATTATCGCATGTATGTTACAGGCCTTTCAGCAACTATGTGGATTTGTAAGTCTCTTCTTCTCGAGTTCTCTAACGGTGTACATGTGTACCCTCGCCAACAGATCATTCTTTGATGACTGCTAACATGGCATCAGAACTCCTTAATGTACTTCTCCGCCACAATCTTCCGGCTCGTCGGTTTCGAATCCCCAACGCTCACCTCGCTCTCCATCGCCATAACAAATTTTCTCTTCACACTGGTGGCATTCCATTATATCGACCGCATTGGGCGCCGTCGTATCCTCCTCTGGTCCATACCCATTATGATCATCGGTCTTGCCCTCTGCGCCATCGCATTTCTCTTTATCAACCTCCCCACTGAAGAAGCGTCTGCCACGGCCATTGCTGGAAACAACAAGATTTGGCCTCTCATTATCCTTTTTTCAATGATAACCTACGTCGCTGGCTATGCTATAGGTATGGGAAATGTCCCCTGGCAGCAGTCAGAGCTTTTCCCTCTGTCGGTTCGATCTTTGGGTTCTGCAATGTCTACGGCTACAAACTGGGGATCCAACACTTTTATCGGGATCACGTTTCTGCCCATGATGAACGTCTTCACTCCAGTCGGCACATTCGCCCTCTATGCAGGGGTTTGTATGATTGCTGAAATTTTGATTTGGAGGATTTATCCTGAAACAGCGGGGCTCGGGTTGGAGGATGTGGGTGGGCTGTTGAAGGATGGGTTTGGGGTTGGAAATAGTGTGAGGAAATTCAGGGAGAGGAACAAGAAAATGTGATGGGCAAGAGGACTTTAGAGGTACGTACATGAGAAGAGGGTGTGTGTGTATGGGAATAGAAGCGGATGTGATGTCCAAGTTGTCAATGAGATTTGAACATGACAACTGTTCGTGTGAATGATAAGAGCTGACATCTGAGCATAAATACCACTCTTTCCACTTCGCACTTTCCCCCCTCGTTCTTTAGACTCGTAGCCACACCCACGCATCTACATAATCAACTTCATCACATCGACGAACTCATAATCATGAAATCCACGACCCTTCTAGCCACGACCCTCAGCGCTCTAGTAGCGTCCGTTCCAGTCCATGTTTCTTCCTCACTTCTTCCCCTTCCTTCAACTCCTGTATTCGGATCTGGCATGATGTTAGATAACATGCCTCTCGATAACAACCTCCCAGGCGGCGGTATCGGCTCTTTGTCTCCTAAGGCCATACACGATAAGCGTGCCCTCGTAAAGGAGGTTTCAGATACACTCGACTCTTCTACATACTACGACGCAGCTGCTGAGAAAGAAGCAGAAGAGTTGGCTCTCGTGTTGGATGCTGCAAGTGAGAATGTAGCGGAGATTGAAGGTGCTGACGACGATGTCAAGGTGAACAGGTGACACACAAGTCGAGGAAGGTGGAACAGAGGAAGATGCAAGATAAACACTCCAGCTACATGTGGAGAATGCCAAGAAAGATGGAAGATGTACCAGGCATGCTTGTGTGAGGGGAGATGCCTGGACAGGTATGTGCAGGGCGAGCGTCAGAACTGTGTAAGCGAAAGTCTCTGCAAACGAAAAGTGAGGACACTAACATGTCAAAAGGAGGTTCGTGCGAATAAAGAGTGCCTAGCTTAGGATAGGTCAGACTACGACGAACATCCTTTCCAGTAGCTGTGCTTGAATTGGTGTACCCTGAAGGGGGCAGCATGGTTTATCTCAGTAATCTCTTGCCAGAACTCACTCACTGTGTACGCGTTTAGCGTATCGTGGGTATAGTAGTTATCTCAATCCACTATATGGTATTCTTGGATGTAAATTTTGGTTTTCAGATTCTTGACCTCATTGTTAGACGTGTTCTACACATTTCGCTCCTTGCGTTGATGCGAGACGAGAAGCTACCACATTCGCCGTAAACACCAGATGTCATTAACCCATTACCCTTTCCATCCCATGCCAGAACGCCAACGCTGATGCAAATGCCGGAAACCCTTTGTCCGTCGTTTCCCAGACGCTATCAATGACTGCAGATATCGTCTTATGTTCATTGATGGTGCGTCGAGAGTGAAGCTCTAGTTGCCAACGGCCGTGTCGTTGAGCGCAACACACACAGCACCACGATGATGTCCGTTGTACTGCCGAATGATGCTCTGGCTACCAAGTTCCCATAGCCTCGCGTAATGATCTGAGCAGCTGGTGACTAGGTAGGCGCTGTCCGCTGAGAAGGCGCAGTCCCATACCCAGCGCTGATGACCGTGTAGTGTAGTCTCCAACGGGAAAGCAGCAGGATCGCGCTCGCTAGCTGATGGCAAGTTGTCGTTGGGCGTGACGTTGTGAGGGGCAGTAGGATCAACAGACCATATGCGTGCGGTGTGGTCGGCGGAACAGGTGGCTAGGTGACGGACGTCTGGGGAAAGAAGGACACGGGTGATGTAGGTAGTATGTGCGACAAACTTGCAGATGGGGAGGATGGAGGTGGTATCGCTACGCTGTATCATGCGCCAGACGTAGACGTTGCCCTGAAAACTCGATGTTAGCAGACATTGTCAAGACTACTATCTGGCAAGACTTACGGCGTTGTTGCCCGCACACACCATGCTGCCATCACTAGCAACCGTAACACTAGCCACGCTCACATCGTCCTCAGGGATGAGCTGGTGAGAACACTTATTCTCTCCCAAGTCCCAGATTCTTACGTTGCCACCACGGTCGCAGCTGATGAGTTCGCCCTGGTTTGGATGGATAACCACATCGTTGACGGGAACACCGTGGGTGTAGTTACGCTGGACATTGCCTGATCGCGTATCCCAGATCTTGACTGTGCCGTCTTCGGACGAGGTGACGAGCCACTTTGACTCGCAGTGGAAGGCGACACCAGTGATATTTGACGTGTGGCCATCGAAGGTGAGGATCGCGTTCGGATTGGTTGACTTGATATCGTAAAGCTTGACCGTGTGGTGGCCAGCGGCGGCGAGATATCGCTTGTCAGGCGATATGCATAGACGGTTGACTTGGGAGTCTGGGTGCGGGATAGTTCGGGAGCATATACCAGAGAGTGCTTCCCAGAATCTGGAGCCCTAGGTGTCAGCACGCGCTACCACCAATTGAGGGTGAGAAGTATGCGAACCTGATCGTGTGGTCGTAGCCGGCTGCGATTGTATGTTAGCTGTTTGCCTGTCAAGTGTGGGGTAGGCAGCTCCACGTACCAGTGCACAGAATGACCGACATCTTGATTATAGGGTGTCTTTCTTAGTGCGAATCAGGAGTGAACTTTTGTATATGTTAAAGACTGTTTTAGTACAACTAATGCGACGATGTTAGTAGGCGCGAGAAATCTGGACCATGACGCGTGCGAGGTTGCGATCACAATTGAAAAAGCGTGTCGCGTTGAGGAGTTGGAGTTGGTCTTGTTCGGGAGTGCTTGGACCACTCTCAGCCCTACGGCGGTCAGCCTATAGCGGCCTAGTGCTATGTAAGCTCCTCATTGGCCAACGAGCACGAAGAGGGTGACGGTGAGCGTGACACCTGCCGACGCGTTAAATCTCATGAGTAGTGGCCAGAAGAAGTGGAAAGCATTCGATACTGAGAATTATTAGAAGGTGTAATATGCTGGCGGAAGCCTTGAGTTATCCCCACGCGCCCCTGATACTCAAACAGAAGACTTTCCAAGAGCTGTTCTGCTTTGTCGAAGCTGACTCTAGAAGCATCCGCTGAATGCTAAGTTGACAAACGAAAAATATAGATATTAACATACATGTCTAGCCATCTCATTAAACTTTATTTATCTACAACAAGCTCCTTGGTATATACGAGAGAAGTCTCCGGAGCGCAATGCCTCGGCAGGGAAAAGGGACATGAGCCATGGGCCATGAGGAAGCTCTAATGGCCTACAGTTTGCTAGCAGTATGCATAAGCGGGTAACTCTTCGGCCCACTTTCCAGTGAATCTTTTGTGATCTCCCCAATGTTCCTGAACTCTCCAACACTCATCAGAATATCGAGGTCAGCTAGTAGCCCGCGCATAACATGGTTTACTCCCGTCTCGCCCATTATTGAGAGACCCCAGATCCATAAGCGGCCGACGAATACAAACTTTGCACCCAGAGCAAGCGCTTTAAAGACGTCAGATGCAGACCGGACGCCCGAGTCGAACATGATGTATGTCTTGTCACCGACAGCTAGAGGCTTATTAGTAATGCACGACCAAGCGAGAAGCAGACATGGAACATACCATCGACAATCTTTTCAAGTGAATCAAGACTGGCAACCGCGCCATCAACTTACCTTCCTGCATGGTTGCTGACTACGATGCCGTCAAAACCCAGATCAGCAGCCTTCTTTGCATCTTCCACGCTCTGGATACCCTTCAGAGAGAATGGCTTGTGGCCACTGAGCTCTTTCCACAGCTTCATCGCCCATTCAGCCTTTTCCCAGGTGTGCGCACGTCCGTGCCATACATTGTCTATCCATAGCGCACCAGCTTCGTTGGGCTGTGTCTTCGGATCAATGCCTTTTTCCTTCAACCTCTTTTGGAAGACAGGGTCAGTCAATCCCAGGTCTGCACCGATTCCATGGTAGAACGCATAGTTTGAATTTGCGACATCGTCATGTCGCCACCCCAGCTGCCAAGTGTCAAGTGTCAGGATTCAAGCTGTAAAGCCGCTGTCCACAGCACGTTGAAGAAGCGAGCGAGTGAGCTCGTCATCGTGCGGCGTGTAGAGTTGGAAGAATCTCACACCCTTCTCTCCACCACCAGCAGCGATTCCAATATCTCCCCGACCTTTTTTCACACCCTCATCGTTGGCTTGGTCAACATCTTCTATGCTTTGTGACCCCGCGGTCGAGAGACAGTATGGTAGTCCCAACGCGCCGGCAGCTCTTGCCACAGGGAGCTCGCCTTGTGGATTGTAAATTTTGTTGATGCCAACAGGGGCAAATTCAATCGGCGCAGGAACCTTATGTCCAAAGATCTCCGTCGCAGTGTCGCGCTGGTTGGTGTCTACTAGCATACGTGGGATGATTCGATGTCGGTAGAATGCTTGTCTGTTTGTGGTATGGGTGTGCGACTGACCAGCATTGGAAGAGGCTGCAGAAGTGAAGATGCGAAGTTAGTGTAGGTCTCATATGCATTCCTTATAGTGACGACTTATCATAAAACCAGCCACCCTGGCTGAGCTTCTCCTTCGCTAATTCTTCGAGTTTACCAGGCTCTGTTCTGCACTTTAGCCATGTGTAATGAAAGTTCGCACCAAATACGTATCATACTCACCAGTATTGAACAATGGCACTTTGCCCTCGTTGGATTTCCAGAAGTTCTCCCGTTGGTATAGCGCATACTGTGGTGTAGATCGAACCTTCTGGTTAGGATTTACAGGGTCCATGATGCCAACTGTGTCAGTCAGGCGCAACCTCGGAGTAATTACTTGAAGAGAACTGGTGGGCTGTATACTGAAGGAAAACGCTGATAGTTTTTATATAGGAAAAGAAGCATTCAATTCGCTGTTAGCCAAATACCACCGGTACCCTCGGATCCACGCCATAATTGTGACGGGTGCACGGCCGATGCAAGCTATGACGAAAGGTGATGATGCTCGGGAATGGACCCTGAACACTAACCACTATCTCCGGCCTCGTTCACGGTAATGCAGACGGTAGTTAAACACAGCAGACAAAATGATTGAAACAGAGGCTCCACTGTCGATCGACATAGTTGATCATGTGTTACTTTTCCCGAAACTGAAGGTTGACGTGTAGTCGCTGACGCGAGAGTATCAAGATGAAATGTCAAGACAAGGCGCGAGTCGAAGATCGCCCGAGGAGCGGGAGAGTGGGGCACATAGAAAGCTTGTTTGCATACATAGGCATGCATTTGCGTGAGAAGCAGCACCCATAAGGAGGCTGGGATTCGACAGAGTACGCGATCTCAGGGCGAGGCTGGTACATATGACGTCACGAAGCAGCCGCTGCCCAGCCTAACGTTGGAAACACAGTTGAACAGGTCACAATAAACGCCCCTCTTGATAGGACCACTGTATCGTGAACAAAGTGATAGCTTATAGAGTAGGCGAAGATCGAATCCGCCAGGTATCATTTCGTGATTCTGCCCGCTTGCGATCCATCAGGCTTGTTCCATGACCCGTTTGATCCTGCAGGAAACCAAGACATCCATCATCGCTTGCAAAACATCCATAAGAGAGACATTGCATATCATCATGCATCGAATTTAACCCCTTCGAGCCAAACGTTATTAGTCGCGACCAAATCAAGTGGGGACAAGCTATTTCTCGCTCGTCTTGATTGTGCTTGCCTCAGGCTTCTTGTCAGCCTGGGCCGCTTCAAGGGCGTCGGACTTCTCCGTCTGTACAGACGATGGTGACTCGGTCACTTGGACCTTGCTCTCGTGCTGAGGTCCAGGGGTTCCTTCACGGTCTTGACGGGACTTGTCGTTGGCTTCCTGGTTGTACTTGTTGACTTGCGAATCCAGATCCTTGTCTTCGTCCTCGTTGTCGAACATCTCGCCGTCATGGTCTCCAGTCGAAACTTCGGTACCGTCGCCGAGAAGGATGATGCGGCCGCCGTTGCCGTTGTTCGGTCGGAATCGACTGTCCAAATCCATGTCGATATCATCAGGAGAATCGTCAATGCGGTGATGAACGCCGGGACCGCGGAACTCGGCTACACGATTGTATTAGAACTGAACTACTCGCCCTCTGAGGCAGATTTGACTGGATCTTCTGACTTGCCGTACTCTGGCGGCGCACATGGACCCTCTCCATTCGCAACCCGCTTTGCGATGTCCTCGTACCACTGCTCCTTTGTCCTTCCCTGTAGGAGACCAATGACAATCATCGTCATGTTGTCACAGCCAACACCTCCCGTGTCGCTGTTCGAAGCCAAGCAGTTGTCCATCATGTTCTCGCAGATAGAGGCAAGATCCTGCTTTGCGACAATCCCGCGCCTAACGAACTCGACGACGGCTTGAGAAGACTGACAATCCCAGATACCTGTAACTAGTCAGTGACAGCGCGGAGTTGTAGCGAATCGAATAACCTTACCATCGCAGGCGACGATCAAGAACTCGTCGTCTTGGTTGATGTCATGTATCTCAACATCCGGGAAGGCAGTGACGATCTGCTGTTCGGGAGGAAGGTCGGCGCTTTTCTTGAACTCGAAGTCACCGATTGCGCGTGATAGAGCCAGGTTGCCGTTGACGCGGCCGAAGTCAACAAAACCACCCGCTGCTTGGATACGTGCTTTCTCGGCTAGTACATGTCAGTGCTGTTTTTGGCAGTGGGGTCATGTGTCTTACCCTCGTTCTGCGGCTTGTGGTCGAAAGAGAGCGGCTTTGCCCTGCCCTTGACACCTAGGACGGTACGCGAGTCACCTGCATTGGCCTGTTTCCGTAAGCGTCCGTCATGGAGTATTGTAGGGGGTCAACGTACAACGTAGATTTTGTCTTTTGACAAGACACCGACCGATGCAGTGCAGCCAGAAACCTCCTCTTCGTACTTGGGGTCTGTTCGCGTGAGTCAGCAACTTGTCGAGGAGCGGGTGTAAGGGCTTCAAAGGGCTCACCACTCAATATCGCGCGGTCTGTGGCGAGGAAACCGTCTTGTAGAGCCTTCTTGATGTCTCCCTCCTTGAAAGCCTCTTGCTTCGCGACAATCTGATGTAGCTGTTCGCCGGCATACAGTGCCACCTTGTCACCGCCGTGTCCGTCATATACGCCGAAGAAGGCGAGTCGCTTATCGTTGCCTGTGGGCTTGCCTTCTTCACCGGCAAAGTCTAGTACGGTGGCATGCGCGTCCTCCATGCTGATCCGCCAGCCCTGCATCGATGACACACCGTAGATGAGTGATTCGCCATCGCCGTTTTCGGATTTCTATACGAGTAATGTGTCAGTATGGCAGCCTTTGAGCAGCTAAACGGCATGGCCTCGCAGGACAGAGCAGGCGACGGTTGCCATGGGGAGGATGCAAGTAGCGCAGGTGCGGGGGCGGGGGCCAGCATTGGGAGGCAATTACCTTGTCGACGACGGGTTCTGAGAGTGTCTGACCCATCTTGTCCGGTACCTAGGAGGACCTGTGGGAGAGGAGGAGAGGAAGTCTGAGGCTGATCGCGAGTCTCCCTAGGGGCATAGAATTCCAAACTGCGATGTTGGTGTGTGGGGGGTATTACAGATTTGGACAGGCGCAGGGGCGGCTGTGTAGAGGGCCAGTCGCGTTTGTAAGTATGGTGTAGGTCCTAGGGAAGAGGACAGAGGAAGAGAATTGCGTGCTCTAGCTCGCGGGGGTAAACAGGCCGATGGTGTTGTAGGCAAAGAGTGACGCTGCTCTACCTGTCAGGTTCAAGGCCCGTGCTGCTTGCTAGTGGGTTGTGGCTAGGTCGAGGCCAGAAGCGACCTGATGACGGCACGCATTTTCTGCAGTCCCGTTTCCCCCACCAGCTCCTGTCTCCGAAATCTCCGTTGATTCATGGTTTCCTGCTGCGAAGACGCCCTCGGCCTACCCAGCGAGCCCCTTGTCGTGCACCGAGTGAGGCGGTGCAGTGCCATGCCAAGGCAGCAGCCGCCAGCATGCTGCTTTCCTTCTGCACGAGCTCGCGTGCCACGCACAAACGAGAAGAGCGAGCACCCCCTTATCGTCTCAGCCTCTTCACGGGAGCCGCCTGCCCTCAATGGCGCAGCCTGGCCCATCACTCCAACCTGACAAAGACTAAAGCACCTGCCCAGCCGTGTTTCGGCTGACAATGCAGTACGACAAATCAGTACTGCCTGAAGAGATTCGCATATAAACGCGTCTATCTTGTTGCTTTACAATGTTGATGGTCCGTACAGATGGCTGCATTGATGACTTGACGTACGAGACACCTCGGCTGAGTGGACTGAACATACCCCATATCTCTCACCTCAAAAGCCCTATTTTTGAACTCGTCTAGAGATATCCATATCCAGCTTCCGTATTACTTCCGAAGTCATGTTGCAGCCATACGATCCCGGACACACCGTGTCTTCTTCTGATGCTAACTGGTGACGCGCGCATGAGCCCTCTTACGGTAAGGCATGGTTAGCGGAATTGCATGTCGCGAACTTCACTCCTCATCTGCTCGGGATTCTGGCTTCGGCACTTTCATGGGATTATCTATCAGAAGCGCGCATGAGCCCTCGGAAGGCTATGGTATGGTGGCCAGTGCGAGCCCCAGACCAACGCGTGTTACCGTTTTGGCCGTGGACCTCGGCTCGAAGCTCTTAGTGCATCTGACGATCCGACAACCTACTTAATCATCATTCTAAACAGCCCTCAATCTCCTCCATCATCTCAATCATCAATCTGCTATCACAATGAAGCCAACACCAGACTGGGTCAAGCAGCTGAAGCCTTCAGGCGTTCAAGGCCATGAATTGCTCAAGGCTGAACGCGCCAACTCCAATGTCCCCGTCCAAGAGCTAGAAGTGCTTCTACACACTCAAGATGTCATCGACAGAAGGAATAAGATTCTTGACATACTCAAATCCGAGAAAGTCTTCGATAAATCACAGAACTACTTCATGGGGAGGATCGATAGGTTCGAACGCGCGCTTGCAAGGGAGAAGAGGTTGAGGATATTAAAGAAGCAACACAACTGGTCCTTCGAGGAGTTCCGGGCTGCCACAGAGCTCGTTGGAGAACCAGGACCATACGGACTTCACGACAGCATGTTCAAGGTACCCATCACTACCCACCTCCATATAGCTTTTACTAATGATTCAGGTTACACTCGAGGGCCAGGGTACACCGGAACAACAAGAGAAGTGGCTTACCAAAGCCAACGACTACAAGATTATCGGATGCTATGCCCAAACTGAGCTTGGCCATGGTTCAAATGTTCGTGGACTTGAAACAACAGCAACGTGGAACAAGGACGACAAGACCTTCACCATCCACTCGCCACACTTGACCGCCAGTAAATGGTGGATCGGATCCCTGGGCAGGACAGCCAACCATGCTGTCGTCATGGCCCAGCTCGTCATTGATGGCAAGTCCTACGGACCAGCGCCTTTCTGCGTTCAAATTCGTGATCTGAAGACGCATGAGCCTCTTGAAAACATTCACATCGGAGATATTGGTCCTAAATTTGGTTACAACACCATGGACAACGGTTTCCTCCTGTTCAACCACGTCAAGGTTCCGCATATCAGTATGTTGGCCAAGTACACATTTGTTGACCCCAACACAAACAAATTCGGTCGCCGTGGTTCTCCATCTCTTGTCTACGGTACCTTGACTTGGGTCCGATCGACCATTGTTATGCAAGCCGGCAGTGTGCTTGCTCGAGGTGTCACCATCGCAACCCGTTACTGCGCTGTGCGTCGTCAATTCCAGGATCGAGATGCTCCTGCTGGTGTGGATGAGACCCCTGTTCTCAACTACACCATGGTGCAAATCCGGCTGCTCCCTCTTCTCGCTGCCACTTTTGCACTCCATTTCACCGGAAAGTCGATGATGGACATGTACCAGGAGAACCAGAAGAAAATTGCTCAGGGTAATGCCACCAACGCACCAAGCAAGCGCGGCGCTGGGCCAGAGGAAGTCCAGTCCGGCAGTGACATGTTGGCAGATTTGCACGCTTCCTCGTGTGCGTTGAAGTCTCTCAGCAGTTCGATCGCAGCAGAGGGTCTGGAGGTCTGCCGAAGAGCTTGCGGTGGTCACGGCTACTCGAGCTTCAGCGGTATCGGACCCTGGTACTCTGACTATCTCCCTACTACAACATGGGAGGGAGATAATTACATGCTGACCCAGCAAGTTGCACGATACGTAAGTTTGATAGCCCAACAAACTATATTTTATGCTTACTAACACTTGCTGTAGATGCTCAAGTCAGCCCGCTCCGTACTCAAGGGCGACAAGCCAACAAACGACACCACCCAGATTCTATCGGAGTTCTACTCGCGTCGTGAAATTGGGTGCGCATTTGACGTAATTGGCTCTGACAGTGATCTCGTCGCCGCCTTCGCCTGGCGCGTATCGTTCCTCACTTTCGAGGCCAGCAAGCACCGCGATGAGCAGAAGAAGCCTTGGAACGACCTACTCGTTGACTTCTACCGCCTCAGCAAGGCCCATGCGCAGTACATGGTTGTGAAGAACAATCTTTCCGCGCTCAAGAACATCGAAAAGGAGGGCAAGGTCGACAAGGCCATCCTTGACGTGCTGATGAAGTTGTTCCGCCTCTTCGCTCTACATACACTTGAGCAGGAAGGTTCCGAGTTCTATGCTTCCGGCGCGTGCAGCAAGCACCAAATTTCGCTTGCAAGGACCAATACCGTCATGAACTTGCTCAAGGAAATCCGACCACACGCTGTCAGGCTCGTGGACGCTTGGGGCTTTGACGACTGGGTCCTTGACAGTAGTCTCGGTCGCGCTGACGGAAAGGTTTATGAGGACATGTTCTACAGAGCGAGCGAACTCAACCCGCTCAACAACTACACGGTGGACCCATACCCAGATAGCGATGTTTTGTTCAAGCGTATCGAGAAGAGCAAGTTATAGGAAAGAGCATCTTTTTATAAACATGTAATTGTATTTGAGCAGAATGATAGAGGGGAGACTTAGACACAGAGTCTGTATAACTACCAAAATTTGTTCTATTGCAATAGAGATGAATTCTTGTGCAGGTCACTACTTGGGTATGTAGCCCACGGGTAATTTGATCCGAGAAAGTGGGGGCGTCGGTACACTGCGTATGGCGCCTGCCCTCGATAGTCGACTTAGCAACCGCATATCAGTACATGCTTTCAAGAGGACAGCCCCTTCTTCCAGACCTAAGCGGATCGTCGAATTTCCTCTGTCCCCTGTTCCGTCTTCAGATAACCCTAGTAACTTTAAACCGCCTTTGTCTATACCAACATGCCTTCCTCATCCCCCACTACAAGCGCTGGCGTCCTTCTGGCCTTTCTCCAACCTATCTCAACCGAAAGTGACGAAGCATCGGCGAACGAAAAAATCGATCTCCTGCCCACGGCCATAACAGCCAACGTACTGGGTATCAAGACCGCCAGACAGTACAGAGCGGCAAATATAGAATACAAAAAGCGACACCTTGTCATATGCGAGACAGAAGATTTGGCACGTGTCAACGTGAAGCAGATGCTGAAATTCCTGGAAGGAGAGAATATAGGTGGGAAGTGGGATATCAGGGCATATAGGGAGGTCGAGATCTTCGATTTGGAGAAGAGCAGTAGTACGTCCTTTCTGTGTCATAGCCGACCGGAAGATGAAGGAACTGTGAAGTATTTCCCTTTGCTGACTGTACGCATAGAAGCTGCAGAGACAATCATGGTAGCGCTTATGCAACCATCACCTGCCGGTGCCGCAGATTTAGACGCTTGGTATCGTGAAGAGCATAACCAACAGATGTCTGAGCAACCAAGCTGGCTAAGAACATGCCGGTATTCACTCGTATCACAACAAACCAGTACTTCCGGTGGAAGCGAAGGGCTCCAAGAGCTATCCTTCCTAGCTATCCATGAGTTCGGAGAGGGAGAACAGTTAGGCGATTCAGTCAAAGCGCTGGAGCCAATCAGCGAATGGACGATGAAGGTCATGAAAGATGCGGTGGGGATTGACGCTGCGATCTATCGGAGAACATGAATGGGTGGAAGGGTCTACCGTGAGATTTGTGGCAGTAGTCAGATTGATCCATAATAAATCTACTGTTTACGAAAGCTTCCATCTTGTATTGCCGGAGTTTACGAGACTGCGAAAAACATGCACGGCCTCTATGCCGACCTTTGTAAGGTGTAGTTAGAGATGCTCATGACAAAAGGTGCGCTTGCAATACAATTTTGGAGACCACGTCTGATCTCAAATTGAAGATAGATGGAATCTGGTCAGGCTATACAGCAGCGCCGATGCTTCAGATGAGATTTGTCGACAGATTAAAAGCAGCGCAAACACGCCTAGGTCATGCCGCCTGTATGTGTGCTTGCATTTGCGGGAAGCTCGCTGGATTTGGCTGGCAAAGACACCCACAGTCTGCCCAAAAACGAACATGCTTGTGAATTTTGTTGCAAAGCTCAATGGAAGGACAGAGAAGTGAAGAGTTTCCCTGATCTAATTGCGCCCTATCAGCAAGTCAGCTCATATCTGCGAAAATCATGGTCTTGTCCTTACTTGCACCGGCATAGTTGCTCCGGATTGCATCTTTCTTAACTTATTTGAGCAAGAACCGTGGTCGTAGAGTGATACGCGCATCTTGTTTCGGTGAAAATGTGGAGGTTTAGATCTTGGCATCAGCTTTGAGTGAACTGAAGCTGGATGAAGGCGATGGGCGACCATTATTGTTCAGGGTCTGGTGATGTGTTCGACCATGCAGAAGAGTCTACATCGTCCTAGTAAAAATGACCTCAAGATCACCATACCCAAAATACAGTCGCAATCCTCTCACAGCCATATCAGGACTCATCATAAGTAGCCCAAATATAGAAGTCTGTTGGATATGCACGCGTTGTAAAGAGGGCAACAGATGCCTATAGTTAGTGTTGGGTGGCGCACCTTGTTGGAGTCCTATAGCTAATCTTTTTGCAAGCCTTGGTTCTACTTCGATTGCTCTGATTTCACGGCAGATCTCTGGTCCGAGTTCGTATGCGGCCGCCATACAGTTATAGTAAAGTGTCAAGTCAAATACAACCAAATCGTTGAAACTGGGCATCGCTTCTCCTCTGATGTGTCTACACGTCATCAGAAGAGAAACAACTTGCTGGTATTTCGGCACTCCGTGGTATTTAGGGAGATACGAGCCTCCAAGCGGATCAGTGGACTTCGGTTGCACATGTATAATCTCGTTGGCGAAGACGTGTTGGTAGATCATAAGACGAAGCTCGGCCGGCAAACGGAAGAACGGTGGCGTATGAGAATCATCTTGTTCACTTTCTGATGGTTAGACTAGTTCTCCTCGGAAATTTACACGGCAAACGTACTCTGTACTGATCTGACGATGGCCTTGTGTGGCGAGTTCCAAGCGACCCAAACTCTCAGCGACTTTATCGTCCATAGTGTCTTAATTATGGTAGGAGTAATTTTTGTCTTTTATTTTTGAGGTAGATTCGTGGTAGTGGAGATTAGGGTATGCACTATGTAATGGAAGTTCGGATGACGGAGGGTGATGAGGGGATTCGGGGATAGATTAGCGCAATGTGGTATCTCCGGCGGCGCGTCCCAGATTTTCGGCGCGTCCCAACCTTCAACATCATTTTCTAACGTGAACCGCAACGCTAACTGCCACGCACTTTGTTTCGACTATCGCATGTGTCCGATCGTTCGTAATGGGAAAGCCAAAGCGCACGAGCGAGGTATTTGCATCATCGGCCGAGAAAGATGCCAATATCACAACGGTGACTGCGACTCCGCCATACTCGAGCGAGGGACCTACACTTCCCATCATCGGGGTACTAGATGACGCGTTGAAAGCCGACGGAGCCAAAGTCGCAGGCAACAAGCGGAAAGCGCAAGAAAGTGTCAATGGTATAGCGCCCAAGAAACAATCGCAGCCACCATCTCCGCCCACAATCCACCCATCACTCTATGAGCCATGGACACGGCTGCCTTCCGAGCTACGTAAAATTCTTGAGGTTCAAAAGCGTATACGAATCGCACAGAACATCGTGCCAGTCGTCTTCTCCAAAAATCAGAACGTCAAGTCTGGGATCAACCGACTGAAGACATACTTAGGTGCCTATAGAGACACTGCGTCTACGATTGAGATGCCGGATGCATTAAGAGAGGACGACCTGGTTATAGCCGTTTCGGCGCAGGGCGAAGGCACAACGAAACTAGTAGGCATTGTGGACATGGTCCGACGGATTGTAGCGCCAAGTGGGACAGAGCATAACAAGAATGCGAAAGAGGTGTGGTGGATGTACACTATGCTTACTTGTGTGGATATCGATCGAGAAGTAAAGGAGTTGATACCAGCGGATAAGGATAATACAGACGCCGAGAGGACCCAGAGTACACAGGAGGAGGCTTTTGAGCCCACGAACCTTGACAGGCAGTACGCACGAAGGCCATCGACTGGAAATAGCACCGTGCAGAGGAGGACAGTCCCTGTGCTAACGGTTTGGATGACTAAGAAGCGGATACCCGTTTTCCAGACCGCCTTTAGGGAGCAGACTTTCACCGTGCAATTACTGCCCAAACACTCGAACTGAAGTACAAGTTTCCCACAAGTTTTCCAGATAGAAACCTGCAAAATTCACCTGGGCTGCGATTCGGCCATCACCGGGTCTCCAGATAACCTTAGCCCTATCTATCTAGAAAACCCCGATCTGCTTGTCTGTCCACTTCACCTTCTTTGGAACCATGGCAAATGGCAGACTCCACAGTCGGCTCGTCAAGCGCCAACTAAGACTCAACACTACAGTGCCTTTCCGAGTTGCTAATGGTTGGTAGCGCCATCCTACCATGCATGTTGCGATGAACAACATGTAAATTAAAGGGAGCTAGGGTCGCATCATCATCAGGGAGGATACAGGGCGCGTTACCAGCTCAGCTTGTTAGAAGGGGCATATTTAGGAGACAAACGAGTGCTGGATAGAAATTCCACTAATATTATAATGCCTATGGTTCGTCCCCTTCCTTCCTCTCTTTTTCCCCACCCTGCCACGTCCCCCTTGTAAGGACATCCTCCCTGCGTCTGAGTATACAATCTCACATCCGCTAATATCTTCTAGTTTTCACTGTTCTAAATCTTAGACTGTATGTGTAGTGGCAAATATTTCATAACTTAATTGGCTTTGTCGGAGCTGGAGACTCGTCAATTAGCAGGTGAGGTGCTGGCGGGTCATGGCAAACTGCCTTCCGGGTTCGACGACGTGGCTGGGAAGGAGACGAAAGATGGAGCACTGTGCGCAAAGTTTTTATGTGACGAGATGGCGCGATTTCACACTTGTCAATGATGTGAGTGCTCAACGGATAGCATGTTGAGATCAAGGGAATGCGGCGTCAAGTGGCCGCAGCACAAGCCAGTAGAATGAAATTGATCCTGGGTGATCGCATGGTTTTTCACAAATCCGATCTAACAGGCTTTTTGATCTTCTGCAGAGTTAGGTGAAGTAATTTTCGACAAAAGGCGTTCTTATGATTAGCGGACTATCACAAATGGAACAAGCCAAGACAGGGTGCGCAAGGTAAAGATTCATAACGAAAGATCCATCAAGGGCACTCTGTGACCTCAGCAACTGCCTGAACATCAACTCATGATTACTTAAATCAATTATAGTCCCAGTAAGAAACAAAGCATAGTAGATTAAACCTACGCATGACGCCCATATCTGCACTCTTTGCCCCAATAACCGTTTGCCCTCTCCCATTGCCTCCACCGCCAACGCCTCCTCGCCCATCAGTGAGTCATTACGTCTTAATATATACCAGATCTTCCGCTTGTCATCTAAAAATGATGCCGCAATACTCCTGTGTCGGTAACACGTTCGAAGTGTCTGACACTTGAACTACGTAAAAGTTGTAATAGACAGAAGAAATACAGAAGCGAGGTCAAGAGGCCGCGCTACACGCCGGATTGCTACGACGTATCGGTGAATACCAGGTATGAAGACTTAACTTCGAGTGTGACGATTGGGCTGATCGGTTCTTGCAATGAGGAGTGAGGCTTGTGGTGGGTGGGCGAGGTTGAGTTAGGAGAGAGGGGAAGGGGGTGTTAATGGTTGATTGATAAAATTGAGGGCCGATTGAGCATACTAGAGGATGAACAGCGTGTATCTAGAGTTCGAGAAAGTAAAGCTATGTTTTGATCTCGTTGTTCAGTACCACTACGCAGAGTTTGTTTGCTCACGACTGGATCGGAAACCATTGAGTAAATACTCTTTTCGGGTCGTATTTCTTTTTGAGCGTTTTCAGTCTCGCGAGACCGGTTCCATAGATGGCGGTGTTTGTCTCGTCCCCGAATGCAAAGTTTGCGTACCTATAGAAAATTTATTAAGAGCACAGTATCATCGCGACGATGACGACTTACGTTGGATCATTTTTCGGATTGCTACTCCTTGTCCACAGTGCCCTAACCTTACTTCCAAATTCCAAAGCTTCAGCATCGAGACTAGCATCATCATACCACGGTATAACGATTGCCTGTGAGAATGCGTCCCTCCTCAATGCCTCGTTCATGGCTGTTGAGTCGAGAGATGCGGACTTGGCTTTGGTCAGATTATAGCGCTCGACAAGCACAGCAGAATTTGGACCTTTCGCCTGAAAACCTTTATAGAGCTCCCAGATCTCAGGCCACTTCTGTGCGCTCATTCCAGTGATAGTTGAGCTGTATGATGGCTTGCGACCACCACGGGTACAAAAGCCGATATTGGCATCGTTCCAGTGATCATATGTGGTAATTGCGCTGGATTGAGATACAGGCCCGATATCGTAAAAAGGGGCGAAGGCTGCGCGACCTGTTTCATTAGTCCCCTTACGAAGAAAGCCGGTAACCAGAATGGAGGGCTCGTTAAGTGGCTCGCCACTGGAGGTTAGTACGAGGTACACTCGCTGTTGTGGCGTGAGGGGAAGGTCCTCCACCGCTTGCGCAACCTGTTCGAGCTTGTCGGGCGAAAATAAAAGGTTGTTGATGAATGCTGTACGATCTTCTTCGGTAGCGGGCATTGCCCTGACGGTCGCTGAAACCACGATTCCAAAGTTGGGACCTGCTCCTCGAAGTGCCCAGAACAATTCAGGGTGAGACGTAGAAGATACTGTGAGTATCTCGCCGGTAGCGATGACCACACGCATGGAGATAATGTTATCGACTCCGAAGCCGACCTCGCCCATGAGGTTACCTTCTGTGAGTTAGCGCTGAGATGCTCACAAGATGCACGTATTACACACCGTATCCGCCACCAAGCATAGCTCCCAGAGCGCCAACGCAGTTACAGTTGCCTGTAATGATCAAAGCACCGACAGCGTTGGCTGCTGCGACGGTTTCTCCAATGCTTGCACCGCCTCCAATAGTGGCGGTCGTCTTGTCTGCAGCGACAGTGACTTTGTTGAGATTAGATAGGTCGATCACAACGCCCCATTCTCCCAAACTGAAGGTCTTTCCCCATCCAATACCGCCATTCTGCGCAAGAAAAGGTATACCAATCTTTGTACAGTACTTGATCTTTTTCTCTGGTTAGCCCTCACTATCCGTTATTCAATCAGTCTGAGTGGGGCTGCACCTACTATTGTTGCTATGTCTTTTTCAGCCTGCACGCTGACGAAAACCGCTGACAAGGGCGCGTTGTAATCACTCCAGCGTGCTCGAATTTCGACATTGACTGAAGATGGCGATGACACTAGGGTTTTCAGATCGCTTACGACATCGGCCTGCCTTACTGCCAGCGCGGACGCCGCCGCAGCAAAAGAAACCAAGAGTGACAAGACCTTCATGTCAATGATACCACATGCATGGCTGATGGTCCAACGGGCCCTTTAATTGACACTAAACTTTCTCGGCTACTCACAGAATGACATGAAATGTCGGGACCACCTGTTACCAGGTAACGTAAGGAATTTGCCGTCTCAGTACGAGAACCTAGTCACCAGATGGCCCTGTACCCCTTAGCACCTGCATGGTATAACTCAGCCGATCTAGGTGTGGTTGCCGAGCGATTATCTTGGACATGGATGATCTGCCGTGCCTGTTCACAGTCGACCCGGTTACCGCGGGCGTATCCACATTCGGTCGTGCGTCCTCTGATGACCCCATGCGAGCCGAGCCCCATCCATCTCCATAGATGGTTGTGCACAGTCACAAACGTCAACGCATAATGTCCAAGAGGCCTCGTGAGCTAGTTCTCCCAAGCGGATGAGTTTGATTGTGGTCTTTCCAAAGTATCGCCATTTGCACGTAGGCTGGACCCAGCTTACGGCCAGCATCGAGAGATGCGGAAGGTGACATCGCCGTAGAAGCAGGGTCCCAGGAACGTGCTGTCGGTGGTATGCAATATATGTCTTCCCGAGTGACTTGGCGCTTGGCGGTGGCATGGATAGTACACCGGGAAACTTATCTTTCAGGAAAGACACCCCTCCAGCCGCTAATAATGTGTTATCATCTTGGGTAGCCTTTGAGGCTAATAGAAGAAAATATCCTGAGAACTAGGCCTAGCGAATCATTGTGAGAATCGGGCTTCGACATATTAACACTGGTATGGAAACCTGGCCCTTACTAGGTCTCCAATTTGTTTCATCGATAGCTTGCCGGATTGCCGGTCTTTTGATGCATTCCCAAAAAGTGCTCTTTCAGCCTAGTCTTTGGAGTAGTTGCTTATACCTGAGGCGCTCTGCAAGGCTCGTAATCCATCTAAGTAGCATCCCGTTGAAGACACGTTCGTGGTTGTTGTACCGGGAAACGTATCGTATTCTGATTCGATCTAGTCTACGACTTCTGCTACTCATAAGGGAAGTAATATGGAGTCTCGGTTTACGAGTCTACCTACACACGTCTCCGAATATCTGAGGTAAGACTTGCCGCCCATCCTAACTCTCTACACCCTGGTAACATCGTCCAACTTTTCTTTGAACGCTGCCTCAATCGGATCGAGTTGAGCACGCGTCGCAGTCATGCTCGCCATGAGGTAGATAACGTTACCTAATATGCGCGAATGAATCTGTACCTGTGATTCGGATACATCATGCAGTAGAGCGTCTCGAAGACCAACCGCTGCCGAAGAATTGTAACCTAGGCTATGTCAATTATAGATCATGGGAGAGATTGGTATGACATACCTGAACCACCTTCGTCGATTAATGATACTGCCAGGACAGAGCCCAGGGCGTTCACATGCTCGACTCTCTCGTGTTCTGAAACGCTTTCTACAAAGGATTTAGACCACATACTCCAGGTACACTCGTCTCTTCTCCTTTCCCTGGTTTTTGTGCTCAACCCTTGAAGTTTAGGTGACCATGGCAGCCTGAAATCATCCCACTGCTTGCCAGTGTGCAAACGTTTCATGGTTTCCAAGCTCCTGTTTGCAACATGGCATCCCACCGCATGAGCAGTATAACTATGTCCATGAAGGAGAGCTTCCGACTTCTCGTCGCCCCAGAAAGCTTGGAAGATGGAGTCGCTCGCGGCCGTGATTGAAAGCGGAAGTAGACCTCCCGTGAGTAACTTGGCATTTACGCTGATGTCAGGATGAACGCCGAGGAATGAGGCAGCCGAAAAACGACCTAGACGATACAACCCTGTGAACACCTCATCGAACATAACGGGGAGGCCAGACCAAGCGAGCGCGTCTTCAGTTTGAGGGTCTGTGGTCTTGGAGCCGTTTGCAAAATCGTAACGACGGATGACGCGCACCAGGCTTTGCTGAAAAAGTGGATCTACGAATAGCATACCCCCGGCTCCAAGAACCACGGGCTCTAAAACCAATGCGCCAAATTTTCTGCCCTGTTTTTTTACCAGCTCATCTAGCGTTCTTTCGATGTAGGCCTCATAGCGGGTTGCTGTGTCTCTAGCAGCAAGATCGAATATGTCATCCTGGCACCCAAAAAATTGGACTGGACCTAGCTCTTTCTCCATGCCCTTGGGGGGTTCAACTACCCATCGACCATTTTTGAGTTTGAATGTCGGATAGTCGAACCAGAAGCCGCGCCCACGATACCAGTCAACTTTCTCGTTGAAGACGCATGGCTCGGAAGCGTCCATGGCACCGATCGTGTCTCCGTGGTAACTGCCCTTGAGACCAATAATACCTATGGACTCTTTTGCGCTGTCCCAATCGTAACACTTGCTAGCAGCACGAAGGGCCATTTTGATACCAACCTCTGTCGCTGTACTGCCGTTATCAGTGTAGAATACTTTCCGCAGACGGCTTCCGTTTCCGTTGTTCCCGTCCCAAAGGATATTCTCCGCTAGAGTGACAGCTGGTTGGTGTGTGGCCCCAGCGAACATGACATGACCATACCGCCCTGCTGCATATGCTGCTTCCAGCGCCAACCGGGGGTTTCCGTGTCCGAGACCTTGTGTCCACCATGATGCTGAGCCGTCAAATGCAGGATATAGGATCTGATTCTCAACATGGGGCTCCTCATCGTTACCCCTGCGTTTGACCTGGAAATAGTCGCCATACGCAGAATCGATGGTCAAGATGTCTTCTGCGCTCTTTACATGTTTGTGCTGTGTGAACGGATGCCAGATCGCTTTCTCTGTTCTATATGGCATAGTCCCCGTATCGATGATTCTCCTTTGGTGGCGTTGATCCAACCATTCGGCAACCGTATACATTGCCTTGCTATCACTTTGTGATGTGTAGTACTTTTGCATGATCTCCGTCTCTTCCTTTGTTCCTGGTCCAATACCTTGAAGATTTGGAATCCAGGGTAAGATTACAGTTGATATTCCCATATCCTTGAAATACTTCTGCAAGTACGGTGCGTTCTTATACTGACTTTGGTCGTCGAAACATATGACAGCGTCGATATCATATCCTCGTATCTTCAAAGACTCTGCGGCTGATATGGTTGAGCCGATACCGCCTAATCGATGGTCGCCTACGAGCACCGAGGGAAGTCGCAGTGGTCGCAAAATATCCGCCTGCGGTGTACCCGAAGGTCCTGGACTGAGAACACCGCCAGCCGTCTCGATGATCGAGAAGCCTCTATACCCCCGCTCTAATGTGTTTGCTGCTTGTTGGACGGTCTTGAACACGGTTTGACTAATGAGCTCATCGCTAGGCTTGGACCATCAACTAATGCTTGTAGAAGTACAGTTATTGCAGCAAAACTCACAATGAGGTCTGATCCTCTTGCCGCAATATGCGGACTTACAGCTTTATCGAATTTGAAAAGTGTTGAAACATGTTGGCCGCTATACTTGTGCACATAGCTAATGCGCAGTCAGCCATATTGCAGACACTTGTCATGATTCATGACAGATATACTGACCTGTCATCGGCCTCATCAGCTGGACCGGTGGATACGGGCTTTATGTATTGTACTTTCAACTTCGCGTGCCTGCTTAAATGGGCACCCAGGAGCGTCGAGAATACCGTCTTACCAACTCCTGTGTTAGCGCCATAGATTTGGACAGCAACAATGTTCTTCCATAGGCCTCCTGGCACCTTCGCCATGTCTCTGTCACGTCCAGTTGGTGGTGAGTTGAGGAGTATGCTGTTGCTATCTGGCTGTAGCTGGCCAATGTGGGGAAAGCGCTAGCAGCGACGCGACTACGCCGAGGCTAAGCATGCAGGTACAAATGCAATGAGTCAATAACTGCATGGCCGCACGTCCGAAGGCACTGAGGGGTTGGCTTATGCAGTGTTTTAGCTAATGAGCATGTTTTTACTTTTGACAGGTCTCAACGACGCGGAAATCCGCGGCAGACCCCACGCTTACTTCCCGCTTTTCATTGATGCTACCACTCCATCCATGTAGTCAGCTCCACACCATCACCGACGGTTACGTTATCACTGTCCAGATTCCCTATTGCTATACTCCATCGGAAAACATGGGAGATGAAACGAGCCCAATGCTGTTGCAAAGCAAGTTACGAGACCTACTCGACCGTCGACGCACAAACTCAACACTCCGAAACTTAACTCTACCTGTTCTCGATCAGACCGACTTCTCCTCCAACGACTTCCTTTCGCTCTCAACTTCGCCAGAGCTCAAGTCATCGTACCTCCAGGAGCTACAAAGGACTAGTCTCCCATTAGGTAGCGGCGGGTCAAGACTCCTGGATGGCAACTCGATATATGCTGAACAACTAGAGCAAGAAATTGCATGCTTCCATGGAGCCGAGTCAGGATTGCTTTTCAACAGTGGGTTCGACGCAAATGCTGGTTTCTTTGCGAGTGTGCCACAGCCGGGAGATGTAATAGTTTACGACGAGCTTGTGCATGCAAGTGTGCATGACGGCATGAGATTATCACGAGCAGCCAAGGTGGTTGCCTTCGAACACAACTCTGTATCAGCCTTAAAGCAAGTCTTGCTAGGTCTTCTCACTGAGCAAGATGGTGTACGCGAAGGAAGATGCAATGTTTTTGTAGCACTGGAATCTATCTACAGCATGGACGGAGATGTGTGCCCCTTGAAGCAGATGGTCGAAGTAGTCGAAGAAGTCCTAGGTCACGAAAGGGGGTACATTGTTATGGACGAGGCGCATTCTACAGGTGTGTTGGGACCAGAGGGTAGGGGGTTGGTGTGTGAATTAGGGCTCGAAAAACGTGTATTTGCAAGATTACACACCTTTGGGAAAGCCTTAGCAGCCAACGGAGGTAAACTTTTCCTTTCCACTAGCGAAGCACAGTACAAATGCTGATCACTCATACAGCGATCCTTCTGGGCTCGGAAACCCTTCGCCATTACTTGATCAACTACGCACGTCCACTTATCTATACAACATTCCTGTCCTATCCTTCGCTAGCCCTTATCCGCTCTTCATATCGGCTACTACGATCCGGGCAGAGTGTTGGTCTACAAGCTCATCTGCAAAGTCTCACGCAGCATCTCTACACTAGTCTGAGTCGTCTCCAAAGACTCTCTGATATGGCTCATAGAGTCCTAACGATTCCAAGCGCATGTCCAAGATCGCCCATCTTTGCAGTGCAGTTAGCAAAACCAAAAGTATTGGCAAGCTTCCTGCAAAGTCACAGTATGATGGTTCGAGCTGTGGTACCACCGACAGTGCCAGTGGGTACTGCTAGGGTCAGAATCTGCTTACATGCCGGTAACACATTTGCGGATCTGGAGAGGCTTGTTGAACTCCTTGGAGAATGGTGTGAGAGTCAAGCAGCTGAGATGCTACAGGACGATACATTAGAGCCAGTTACGAGAGCCAAACTTTAGCTTTGAATAGGTGCATAAACGTTTCTACTTTGTAATGTTTATGTATTAGCCGTCTTGTGTAGACTACCATGGCCTTTAGGCAAGTGCCTGAACCGTTGCCTCCGCTTCAGCAGCAGCAACAACTGCCTCAGCCTCATCCTGTCCAGGAAGCTTGCGCCTTTCTCCAATCGTCTCATCCATCTTCATAGGCCTGAGTCCCCATCTACCAAACATGGCCTTGTCCTCTTCCCAACCATTGCAAGCAGTAGTCAGCATTTTTTCGCCAGTGAAGACAGCGTTGGCACCCGCTTGGAAACACATGATCTGCTTCTCCTCGCGCATCGTGTGGCGACCAGCTGCTAGTCTAATAATGGTTGTTGGCATGACTAGACGCGCAGTGGCGATGGTTCGCAGGATGGCGTCGAAGGAGATCGCCTCGGTCTCTCCAAGTGGAGTGCCTTTGATTGGAACCAGGGCGTTGACTGGAAAGGACTCAGGATGGGCGGGCAATGTCGCAACGGTGTGAATGAGACCGACATGATCACGAGCCTTCTCCCCTAGACCAAGGATACCACCAGTGCATACGTGGATGCCAGCTTCCTGAACGTTCTTGATGGTGTTGAGTCGCTCATCGTACGTGCGAGTTGTGATGACACTTGGGTAGTGCTCTCGACTAGTATCAACATTATGATTGTATGCAGTCAGTCCAGCATCTTTGAGTTCCTTTGCTTGCGCAGCATCGACCATGCCCAAGGTAACACACGCCTCCATGCCCATGCCACGCACGCCCTTGATCATTTCCTTGATGTTCTTAAGATTCGTCTTGCGGCCTCGCATGTCTCTCCAGGCAGCGCCCATGCAGAATCTTGAGCTCCCATTCTCTTTAGCAATTCGCGCAGCTTCCAGGACGGAATCAACCGAAGATAGTTTTGTGGCTTTCAGACCGGTATCGTAACGGGATGACTGTGCACAGTAGGAGCAATCCTCGCTGCAACCTCCTGTTTTGATGTTGAATAGTGTGCACATCTGGATGGCTGCGGGGTCATGGAAGCGCCGGTGCACCGAAGCCTATAGCGAGATTGATAAGACAGTGACCCTCCAGATTGCCACAGAGTTACTTGACATACCGATGCATATGTGAGATCTATCAGCGAAGTGTTGTAGACTTCAGAGATCTCCTCCTTTGTCCAGCTGGTCCTGGGGGCACTTGCATTGAGTGCATTCTCAAAGACGGAGCCTGCCCGGGCTACAGAGCGTAATTGCTGAGTTCCTGGGTCGACTGGGGTATCGAGAACAGTACTGAAGGGGCGGGTGATCTGCAGTGAGCGAGGAGTGAGCGCCAGGCCCCGGCCTGTACGAAGGAACACTCTTTGGGCCATTGCGAAGGTCTGCTGAAGCTCGACACGAGACGCTGGAATCACGTACAGTCAACGGGTGCTTCGAACTAGCTGGCCACGGTCTACGGGAAACGGCTCTAGGGCTTCAGGAACGCGTCGGCGTGCTTTGGTAGATCAGCGTGGGACTTCCGCCAATCAGATTTGAGATGATCAAGCGCGGGGTGCCGTGGCGCCTTTACAACTGTATAACCTTGCGAGACCGAGCGGTCCAGCCAAAAGCGCCGAGGTAACAATGTACAGCACTGGCGAGCATCACTGATGTCGCCTTTCCAAGGAGCCATTGGACTTCCCGATGTCTGCCCCAACAAGACAGACCTGCCAAATTAACATTCATCAATCATCTTCCCAAGACTGTCTGCTTGATATGATTCAGCGCACTTCCCGCTCTCAACCACCTCAATTGCCCCTCGCTGTAACTATGGTTGAGCGGCGCGACCCACTCTCCTGCATGCGCGCATTCTACGCGCATGCTAGCCTGCCTTCCCGGCCGTAGCTCGCCGTCTTCGACACCTTGTAGCGTAATACGATCGCCCAACTGAATACGATCGTAGTCTCGAGGGTTTGCAAATGTCAAAGGAAGCATGCCCTGCTTCTTGAGATTCGTCTCGTGTATCCTGGCAAACGAGCGTGCTATGATAGCCACACCGCCGAGGAAACGCGGCTCAAGGGCTGCGTGCTCGCGCGACGATCCTTCTCCATAGTTCTCATCGCCGACGATGCACCACTTTATTCCTCGATCACGTAGGTCTCGAGCGACTTCATGGATAAGACCGGCTTCTTTGGTCAGTGGGTGGATGGTGTGGCCGAGCAACCGAGAGTCGGACGAGAGAAAGGCGTTCGAAGCTGCGAGAAGCATGTTGTGGCTAATATTCTCAAGATGGCCTCGGTACTTGTACCAAGGCCCTGCTGGAGATATGTGATCGGTCGTACACTTACCCTTGACTTTGGCCAGAATCGACATGCCTTTCGTACAGCCTGGAGACCACGATTCAAAAGGCTCGAGCAGTTTCAGGCGGTCGGATTGTGGGTCGATGTCCACGACCACATCGTCGGCGTCATGAACTGAAGCCTGGTAAAAGTCCTCGCCGACAGCGAATTGAGAAGGTAGCTCAACATCTATTGGCGCCGTAAATCGGAACCCTTCTGTAGACCCTTCAATTGGAAGGTAATCGGTAGTAGGGTTGAAATCCAATCTTCCAGAGTAGGCAAAGGCGGTGACCATTTCTGGAGAAGTCACGAACGAACAGGTCTCTGGATTTCCATCGTGTCGACCGACAAAGTTGCGATTGAAGCTTGAGACCACTGTGTTCCGCTCACGACCCTTGACGTCGATGTCCGTACGCTGCCATTGCCCGACACACGGGCCGCACGTACTGCTCAGCACAACAGCGCCTGCATCGCGTAATGTCTGTAGGATACCCTCCGATTCCGCAGTTGCACGTATATCTTCGCTACCCGGTGAGACCAAGAATGGCGTCTTCACATGCGGCAAACCAGCAGCCTTGGCTTGAATGACAAGCTGTGACGTTTTGTATAGATCTTCGTATGAACTGTTAGTACAGCTGCCTACCATGGCATGACTGACTTCGACAGGCCAGTCATTGTTTGCTACAGCATTCTTCAAATATGAAAGAGGATGCGAAAGGTCTGGTGTGAAGGGACCATTTATATGCGGCTCCAAGGAGTCTAGATCGATTTCAATGACAGCGTCGTAATGATCTTCCGAGCCCTCATCTGCTGTCAGCAGAACGTCCTTGTAGCTGTTTGCGAGACGCGCGATACTCCCACGTTTTGTCGCTGAAAGATATCGGTATGTAGCTTTGGTGTAAGGAAAGATACAGGAAGTTGATCCAATCTCAGCTGACATGTTACAGACTGTTGCCATGGCTGTTGCGCCTAATGTCTCCGTGCCTGGGCCGAAGAACTCGAGGACTTTGCCTTTTCCGCCAGAGACGGAGAGGATACCCGCGAGTTTGCAGATGATATCCTTAGTCGAGGTCCATCCATGTAGACGGCCTGTAAGTCGTACGCCTACAACCTGTGGACACATGAGCTCCCAAGGCATACCAGCCATTGCATCGACTGCATCCGAACCTCCAACTCCGATGCCTAGCATACCCATGCCACCAGCATTAGGCGTGTGGGAGTCTGTCCCGATGATCAGTCCACCAGGAAAAGCATAATTCTCAAAGATGGTAGTGTGGATGATGCCAGCTCCGGGTTTCCACCAACCGATACCATATTTCTTCGATGCGCTACTCAAGAAGGCGTAAACCTCTTGGTGCTCTTTTCGCCCACGAATAAGGTCATCTACAGCACCGTCGCGTGATACAATGAGGTGGTCGCTGTGTACTGTAGTAGGTATTTGTACTTTTGGAAGGCCTGCGCTGATGAATTGCAGCAACGCCATCGTCGCCGTTGCGTCATGACATGCGACTCTATCAGGTCGGAGATGCAATAACGTCTCTCCACGCCGGATTTCGTCCAAAGACCAGTGGTGCTCAGTCGAGACATACAGATGGCTGTAGAGTACCTTTTCCGCCAGAGTTAATGGGCGCTTCGAGCCATGCTTGATAGAGCCGAGCTGCAAAACCTGTCGGTCGTAGTCGAGTGGTGTGTCTATATCCAGAAGACTGATCGGTACCCGGGGTACATGTGTAGCCAGGCTCCTGACATGGCAAGTGGGGTGACGGCGGTGGAGGTATCTCCGCGTTGCGAGCTTAGTGATGAACATGAATTGGCAATAACTCAAAGATAGTACAAGTGATTATGCTTGTGTGAGCCATATTGGCAGCAGAGTATATCAGCGCAGGCCGGGAAGATGATCCTTATCACCGTAGTTCGGTCGGCCTTTGATACTAGCGCTAAGATGCCGGGACATTCGCAACCGAACGGCGCCGCCGGAGCTACAAATGACTCCAGCTCTGACATTTAGTTACACTCAACACCAAACTTTACCAACCATTGCGAATTCCTCTTTCATACCACTGATATGACAGACTCCACATTCACCAACAACTCATATTTCATGCTTCCCAAAGATTAGTTTGACCGCCACCGCCAACGCGACTGGTATCCAACGTGAGCGCGTCGTCGG